TACATACACAGTTAGGAAGCCTGAGATGTTGAAGTATAACAAAAATAGACAAGACAACGAATCGCAAACGCAGCTGGGTGTTTATTGACCAGAAAACGCGAGTTCATAGAATTCGAGCAAGGTATAGGCGGAGAAAAAGACGTGCCTAAGCTTAGTGTGTTTACGGGCACTATCCCGGCTGGCTAATCCCCTTCAAGGTTCACCACACCCCTGAGACATAAAATAAGCACGCAGACCCAACAAGGAAACATCCCCCAATAATAACAGAGCTAGCTAACATATATTCCTACTTTTGACAGAACCCCCGTAATTTTCCTCTTACTACAACCCGCTTAACATCAAATCAGAAGTTAGGGCAATGAGGAGAAATAGATAAACTTAAAATAAACTCCTCTACCCATTGATAGCAACGAGTATGTCTCTCGTAAAGCGGGACGTACAAATAAATGCAAGGTTTAATATATGTTTGGCGAGGCACTTTCTGCAACGCAAACATGTCTGTTTCGATCTACCAGAAGCTCGGACCCCTTTTCTTCATGACTATTTGGACAGACTAAGTGATGAGAGGGATTGGTCTTTCCAAAAGGGATATATCACATCGGTGTCATCGTTCAAAGGGAACGGAAAGACAAGTCATTGGCCGTGCTCCAGACCGACCAGACTGGGTTATTGTTAGCGGTCCCGAAAAGTACAAAGCTTCAATAAAAAAAATAAAAATAAATAATTACTGCTTAAAAATGTTTTGAAAAAAAAAAATGAAGACATTCTGGTAGCAAAACGGGAAGTGTGTACGATTATGGGCGACGATACTTGGAAAGGGATACAGGTCTTCCTTCACCGCGAAGATTTTGTAAAACAAAAGTCCAAGGCCAGACTCAGTGCTTTCTATTAAAGTGGTAATTGAATAAAATTGCTCATAGCAGAAGGCACTTGCAGTTTTTATATGTAATTATCTGGAGCTATGTTTGAAAGGAATAGTGCTCTTCGAATCCCTAGAAGATACTCGAGAATAGTCTTTCTCCCCTCCATCAAAACGCTTGCACCATGGTGCATTAGGCATTAAGAGCTCTATTCTTGTATGGACAGTAACATATTATAGACCATTTCCTAAATTACCCAACTGCCAAGAAGTGTACGTGCGTGTGCTAGCGTTTGCAAAAGAACTTTTCAGAGCAAACAAAAAAAAGGAAATGCTTTGCACGCACACTTTTCAACGCCTTATTTTGGTTATTCGCGTACTTTAAATATGTTATGCAGATAAGGACAAAGCGCGCGTGTACTCGCATTACCAGTATTCTGTTGGATATGGGTAGGTTGGCAAAAGGCCATACACCTTCCAATATTTACAAATCCTCAGCCCAGCGTCCGATCTTCTCATTCCAGTACGCGCGCATAATCGTCGCTTCAGAAAGCGAGCAAATTACGCGCCACAGGCACGGACACTGAAAATGGAACCGTCCAGGAGCCCCCCCCCCCCCCCCCCCCCCCCCCCCCCTCTTTTTTTAACTGGAACTTAATTTGGTCCTTTTCGAAGTTCGGGCTGGTAACCGGTTGCTAAAACCCTTGAACTGTTTCTAAGGTGAACTGCAGTAAATTTTAATATCAAGTCTGATTCAGCGAAATAGCGCGAGCTCGCTGGCTTTTGCAGTGCTTTGGTTGCGCGTGCATGCGCGTTCCCTGTTGTGTTAGCAAGGGCGGGAGGCTCGCGCTGAAGGCGGAGCTTCTAGTCTCAGCTCAAAGGCCGGTTCTCACATACAGCGAAGCGCTGTTGCAGCGCTGTTTGCGTGCCATCAGTTATTTATCATCTGCCATGATCACCAGTTTTGACCGTGCAATACAAGGCTGGTGAACGCTGTTGAGAGCCACCCTGTCACCAAAGCACCTGTTCGGCCTAAACGCGCTGCCTTGGATCGAGCGTGACTGCGCTTGTAACCGCGCTACTTGCCCAGCAGTAAAATACGGGAATAATAGGCAGTTTTATGATTCTCTTCAAAGATAGGATTTCGGAAATATTATTATTTATAAAAATAGAATTAAAACGGCGGTCATCGCACAGAGCTTTGCATGAGTCAACGAAGCGAAGGCGGAGGGGCCGGAGAACTTCAAGCGAAGGCGGCGGTGGCGCCCTCTACTAGCATCCACAGAAAGAGCAACCTCTCCGGCCAGCATGTGGACTCACTACTCCCCACGAGTTCACTGTTGTAAGGAGGTTACTTTGGAGGAAAAGTGAAAAGAATGCGCCACTTTTCCCAGATACGGGCGCCAGGGGGTTTAGCCAGTTTAGCCGCAGGTCAAAGGGAGCGGCTGGCCGCCGAGCCAGCAGAGCCCGCATGGAAAAACTCCGGAGTGACTGCACGGCCGAGCTCAGCGGGGCGCGGCTACTTCACCAAAGCGCGCGCTCGGCCGTCGGCCGCAACCTCTGCATTTGCGAAACGTGGCCGTCCACGCCAATACGCCGCAGATGAACTAAAGAAGCGGAAGAAAGACATTCATGCTTTCGCGTTCACAACTCGTAAAGACTGCTTAGGTGTCCTCGAAATTTTTTTACGGTTTCATCGCTTCCCATATGATCAACGACGGCCAGTGGGTTGCTTCAATATGCAGAAAAGACTTTAGCCCTTTCCCAAATTCTCGAGTGTGCTCGAAACATTTCTTGACTGGAGCGCGCTGTGTTCGATGCTGTATCGTCATTCAACATGGGTTTTGATCGGAGGGTAAGTAGCACTCCCTTCGAAATTCGCTGTTTCAGTTTGTAAAGTCACTCTTGGTGTTCTCTGTAGGTCACACTCCCGCGACGACGATTGCAAAAGATTAAGATACGTTCCGCCGCTAAGCCTGCGCATGATTTGCGATTCAGAAAGGGCTGTTTTAGTAGCTGAAGGCTCATTCCTGTTACCAAACGGGTGTTTCCTTATCAGTTCCCTTAAATCGCCATCTCCTAGACAACAGACGGGGAACCGTTAAGTTATGTTAGCCGTCAAAACGCCACTGCATGCTTATTATTTTACGGAGAAGCGGGCAACATAGGAAGTAATAAACATCTATTTCGAATACCTCAAAATGCTCAGCCGCTGATAGACCCACGCTTGCAACGGGCCTATTTTGACGTTGATGTATTCAGTTTTCGACAAAAGACGCACCCGTCGACACGGATCCCTGATTTTTTTTTTTTTTTTAGACTTAAAAACATCGGTGCATAGCAGGCCGAAGCTGTCTACGATCATTTCCGCGATTCTCTGATTCGGCGCGTCTTCGTTTTCTTGTTATCGTGGATACGGAACGGCAAAACCTTTCTTGGTGTACTGCACCTACAACCACAAAAAAAAAAAAAAAGAAGAAAAAACGTCAAAGGAATTACAAATTTATTATCTGTGAACTGATGTCTTGAGTGCTAACTCCCAATTTCGATCGCTGGCACGCTCGCTGCCGCCGCGTTCGCTGCCCCTGTGGTACGCATCACCGTCCCGACGGAAGCCATAATAACGAGCACGAAACAGGCACAGAGTGTCCAAAACATGAACCCATCAAACAATACAAAAGGTCTACCGTGCAGTAAATATTACTAGGGTTTTACTGCGCCCAATCAGCGGCGCACAAAAGCTGTTTTCACCCAGTTCAGCACGACTGCTGAGCTTAACGCCCGAGAGATGGCGCTACGGTATGCAAGATGGCGCTGCTCGCGATAAAACCATGCACACACCTTTGAAACTGCGGCCTCTGGGTGCCACTATCTTGTGTCCGGTGTGGTTAACTCGCCTGATAGTCGAGCATTGCTGAAGCATGCCCACGGATTCAGCAACGCTTGACTATCAGATGATCTACCCTCACCATTAGCAAGATGGCAGCGCCAGAGGCCGCACTTGCAAACTTCAGACGTGTGTTACATGTGCCTGGTCGGTCTTTGAGTGAATATGTGAGAGGGAGGGTAGGCTTGCACTGCTTTGTACGAGTTAAGGTTTGATTTCATTTCGAGACGAGATGTACCCTTCCTGATGGTCACGGGGAGTGTGCGAATTGGCCGAGAGACTTGTGTGGGAAATGGTAAAACTATGAGTTTGGGGGGCCAAAAAAAAGTTTAGTAGCTGAGTTTGAGACATTTTGCGTCCGTCCCCTTTTTCGTCCGGCGTCTTCAGATGTCCTGAAATGTAAAATGTGTTGCCTTTTTGTGGTTTGTTTTTCGTTATGATCATTCTGTACAATTGCTATACAATAAAGCATCATAGCACTGTGCTTTATTGCCGTGTGCCGGCTTTATCATTTTATGACAAGAAATTTTCGTTGATGAGCAGGAGCCGCAAGGGAGGGTTTTTTTACTGAGAAGGATTATTTGAAAAGATAATTCAACCGCTGAGACAGCGTCGAAGGAAGCGGATGTAGCAACCTCAAAAACTCACATACTAAACTAAAAAAAAAAAGAATTTGTAATTTAATTTTTTAGGCTACGAATCATATTTAACCTGCACACCGGAACGTATAAAAGATCTCCAAAATATGGTGGTATCGCTTTAATCTTCAGAACTTGTTTGGAAGAATAGAAGAGGACAAAAAACGCTTTCTGCGGTGATTTCTTCATTTGGAGCGCCTTGGGAAGTCCTTGACGCCGAGCCATCCATTCACCTGTCGGCACGCTCTTCCTCTCGCTCTTTTTATCGCACTATGGAAACACTAAACAGAAAGCAGCGGTGCTATTTTTTTTCCTCGCCTGCCAAAGGCCAAAATGGGTCACAGATTTGACACGAGTGCTGCGTTAGCGGGCGGCTGACGCCCCACTTGTCCCAACCGGCAAGCACAAGTTTAAATTAAGGTTTTCTTTTTTCTTTTTCTTTTACATACTGGAAAATAGAGAAATATTTCGTAAATACGATGACAGTTAAATGACACAATCACCATTGTATTACATTTACGAGAAAATTGTCTTTTCATTTTCTTGATATTTACAGGTGTTCGGTATCTGTTTCCTGACCAGCGTGCTGCAAGCGATGTGGGTTCGTTCAAGTAGATTAGTTTGGCTTCTGTGGCCTTTTTGTTATTGTAGTGATATCCGGGGGAAAAGTTACGCATTCCTTGTTGATGCAGACCTAGTAAAAAAGGAGTTTAATAAAAAAAGATAATACGTTCAGTCCGGTCCCACTCAACACCGCAGCAACTTTTAACGGGTGACTACGAGGAACTGAGTGACATATCGACATGTTTAAAAATGGAGACTTTTCGTATATTCGTGGGCAATAGACATGTGTGCGGGTAATGCACTAGCTAGGAAAACTCACACCGAAATATCAAATCCGTGGGTTCGCACATGTCACAACCACTTTAATTATAGCTCTTTTATCGCCTCCTTTGTTTATTTGAGATTAACGATCAGGTGTCTTCTAAATGTTGAGCTGATGTATGCACTGGAACTTTGCGGGACGTGCAACACCAAAAAAAACCTTCTTCCAGACCACAAACACACAAATACTTGACGTTTGAACAAAGAATACTCAAACTGAGATCTTTTGGGCGCTTCGGAGCGCCCACTGACGTTTTCCTAAGTGAAGTGACTTCAAGAGACATCGTCTGCCACATTGATGGTTTCGAGAGGTTTCTTGTAGCTCCTCTCCGTCAAATTAGAGAACTCATACGTCGATCTGCATCCTCTTGGGTTAGGCCTAACCCTCAGACCACTGGAAAGGTTGTGACAAATTCATTGTATTTCTGAGGAATTTAACATATTTGCTAATATAATCTTCTTGTAATATACACGAATCCTGTGAATCACATCCTATACGGCTAGGAACTTAGGGAGACGACGAGATGAGAGCGCGTGGCGTTGCCAGAGCGCCTAGCTCCGACTGGAATGATTAGTGAGTAGACGCAAAGCCTTGCTGCATTTCTCTTTACTCACTGCTCGAACGCGAACGTCGGACGCCGGTGTTCCGCCTACTAACGCTTTCCAAGAGTGCGTAGAGAGAAAGAAAGCTAGCTTTACCTCGACCCATAAGTCACGCCAAGAGAGCTTGGTGTTGTGACGCATAGAGTTATTATAATGTACGCTAGAGTTCAACTGGTGCTAGTGTCTATGCAACTTCCGGGAGGCATTTTCAAGCAGACAGCAACCCGTCTACTTTCGCACTGCTCCTGTACAGTCATATGTTAAAACGTGCGTGCATTTTGTATCTTCGACGGAAAATAACATAGATAACTTTTGCTCTATTGATTGTACTGAATAGTATGCACCTTTATTAACATTGAAAAAGTGTAATTGCTTTATTTACATCATTTTTCTTTACCACTGAACAATGTTAAACTTCGCTATATTTCAGGTTCAAACCTGCGTTCTATGGCAGGTGTGTAAAAACTTGCGACGATTCTGAGCAAAATAAAAATCGAAAGAAATATAGAGTTTCCTCAGGGTTGGCCAGCATTCTGGTGGTAAATATATATTGCTAATGTGCCCGTCCTGTCACTATATGAAAATGACTCCGTTGTGCATCTTTATGAGCGGTTAAAAACTATTCGAAACGTAAAAAATAAAGTACGTGAGCTATGAAAGGTTTGTATGTTTATTATTTCCTATGTCGGGCAGCTTTTATCTGGCACCTTTTCTCAGGCTTCTGCCTATTTTTAAAGATTTTGAGCGTGCAGGCAATGTTTTTGAGTGCAAAGCATCTCCGCACATATTCATGAGCTGAAGCCCTAATCTAGATACTTGGTGAAAAAGTCGGCGAGAAATCGCACGACAATGATTGGCCGGCGCAAAGGTGAAGTGCGGCGTTGTCCAATCACGGCCGCAAGATTTCTCGCAGACTTTGAGGCCAACTGTCCAGATTAGGGCCCCAGAAAGAGTAAAGCAGTACTTATTTATTTTTATTTTGATCGTCTGCATGCACGAGGAGCTATTTATCCAGTGTTACTGCGTAGTTCTTGTCGTCTTGGTTTTCCACATGCACTTCGTCCGTTTGGCACGTAGATCCCCCATGCTGGAAATCGCCAACGTCGTGTTCGCGCTAACAGTGTCCGACAGTGCGCATAAATACGTGTACGAAGCGGTTTTAGCACCGCTTTTCATGCAACGAATTTGAAATAAAAATGCCGTAACTGACCGGTCATGTCGTCTGCGTTACTGAGAACTGTTCCAAGCAACGATTGTGTATTTAAAAAAAGAATAACAAAGGAATGATAAAGGAAAAAGAAAGAAAGAAAGAAAGAAAGAATGCATTCGCTTTCTCCCATAGAAATGCATTATCGAAAGTCAATTTCCGACTGGTTGCTTGCTGTCTGCTTCAATTTGCCGCAAAACATTAGCGCGAGTTGAACCTCTAGCGTACATTATAATAACTCCATGTTCTGACGCCCCCCCCCCCCCCCCCCCCGATCGTTCTCGTCTCCTCCTCCCCCTCTGTTTCTTTCCGTATTACGATCATCGGGAATGTAAGGTTTGTTTTTAATATGGTGGGGCATACGTTTAATATCTTGCAAAGTGACCAGTTCGACCCAATGCCAAACAGTACGTCGGTCCTAGGATTAAAATGTGTACGTGACGGGTGTTTTAGTTGGCATTAAATATGATTGTAATATTGCCATCTACAGCTGTTTTATGCATTTAAAAATTTATCTAGTTTCGTCCTTCATGAAATTTCACGAGTACATGCTTCTATATAAGTGTCCGACGGAGAGCTCAAGATGCGTATATCCCACAATCTCTGGCTGTCAGTCATTGTTTGTTTTTTTAATGCGAAAGAATTAACTGTCCCATAGAACGAACGGTCATCATCAGCTTTGAAACCGCGCCAAACGTTGGCCAAATGGCACCTAAAATCCCCTTCCTGAAGTGAAGCCGATTTCTGATGGATTGTGCTCCCAGTGGCTGGAGCGCGGCATCAAGGAACGAAGGATCCCATTGGCTCTCTTGTGGCGTAATTCCAAGAAAAGCCACCAGAGAAGCCCTCTTTATGGCGGCGCAGCGCACGCAGCCAACACCACCTAGACAGAGGGCCTCCACACGCGTCATCATAGTCAGATCGATCGAGGCGAGAGATTGGGCACGAGTGCTGCGTCAGTGTTCGGCTGCGGCTCGTGGCCAATCAGCGCGTCGAAGGTCGGACTCGGGTCCAATAGCCGACCGAGCGCGATCCGACTGTGATGACGTTTCATAGAGGAAGAGGAAACCATGCGGAGGTCTCTGTCTAGGTGGTGTTGACGCAGCAGCCCGGCCGCCGGTAAGAGCGGTGCGGGCCTGGCGGCAGAGCCGGCTCGGGCAAGCTCCGGGAAGGGTGCACGGCTGAGCTCAGCGCGGTGCGGCCACTTTACGAGAGCACGCGCTCGGCCGTCGGCCGGGGAAACGTGGCCGTCCACGCCATTACGCCGCAGACGAACTAAGGGAGCGGAAGAACGGTATTCATGCTTTCGCATTCACAACTCATAAGAAGTTCGAGGCATCCTCGGACTTTTTAAATGCGCAAGTGGAGTCATTAATAATATTCGAGGATATGATATACCGGGTGTTTCATGGAATCTTTTCAGAAATCCCTAAGATAAAGAAACAATGCAATATTTCTACATACAAACGGCCAGCCACAATAAACGTCAAAATTGCACACAAAAAAAAAGTATTAAAAGACGTCTAAACATTTATCCAAAGTTTGCTGATAAAGGTTTTTATTAGTGCAGATAAATATATCGTTCCATATAGAAAGCTACTGAGCATAAATCGAAAGCCATTCAATCAATTTCGCTCAGAGGGATATGATGCGGGTGAAGCTTAGTACGGCATTAAAAAAAAAAGAGAATACCTCAATAGGGACGCGTCTCTATTTTTCAGTCCTTAATCGGAGCTCAACTCCGCCCCAGAGGTCCTGCCCCCAGGTGGCCGAGGCACGCAGTGCAGGTACGCCATACTTCCTTGCATCCAGCGAGCAAGCCGAGGTGGTAGTTTCACGTCTCGGACACGTAGGGGCAGGACCGCCAACGCAAAAATAGGCAGTGATAAAAAATAAAAAAAAGAGAAACAAAAACGAAATTTAGGAACGCTTTTCAATTAGGCGATCTTTTTTTTTTTTTTTTTTTTTTTTTTTTTTAGGAAGGGGGTGAGGAGGACGGCCGTAAAGTGTTGTACCAGCTTTATATTTTTTTAATAAGTGCATTATTTCATCTTCGATGCTGCTCAGAAAATTTATGATTTGAAGCATAGGTTTATATTTTCGAATGGAAAAGTAGGTTAGTACCTTTTATTTAAATATTTGTGTAATGAGTATATCTCTTGCAATACCTGGCGCCCACCGTAACTTCTATCTTGTTCACCAAAAAACATTTCTTTTTCATTCATTCGATTTTTTTTTCTACTGTTCGCTGAAGCACCATGTATATGAAACAAAAGTTAGTGTGATCATGGTGTTAAAACCCCGAGACAGGGAAGAAAACTTGAAAGAAAAAAAAGTGTAGTAAGTCACAGAATTAAGGGGACAGACAAATACTCGATTGAGACGTTTGTCAGTCCCCTTAATTCTGTAACTTCTTACACTTTTTGCTTTCAGGTTTACTTCCCAGTCTCATGATTTTAACATCATGATCGACATATACCAGCTCGCCTGCACCTTGACAATTTTTCCTCTAAAGTAACTGTTTTACCTTTTCAAACGTTCGCGCGCGAGCAGCTCGACGAACACAAAGAGACTCAGTCCTGATAATTATGATTTTAAGAGTGCATTAAACCCACGAATGGGAACTTGTTTTTTACAATGTACTTGACAGCGCAATCTTTCACACATTGAATGTCTTCTATAGAGCCCTAACTTAGCGTTTAAATATTATCCTCGCTTCGTGATTGGCTGAGTTATATTTGTTAAGTTGCACCAATGCATATTTGGACAGTGTGGCTTTTTACCGTAAAGTTTTCTATTTTTATTGACATCAATTGCTCGAGTAGAGGGGTGGTGATTGCAAACAGAAGAGCCACTCGACGAGACTGCTGCACAGTTCGTTTTCGACGTTTAAATATTCAAAATATGACTGCCTATCTCGTTACAGCTGTTTTTATAGCTTGATTGGAATGTGGAAGGCGTGAATTGTAAGGTTTGTATGGTTTTATATTTATTTAGTTAGCTCAAAGGTGTTGTTAGGGGGACACGACACCACGGTGGAGGAACAAAATGAAAATAGATTCGTTAAACACAGACATGACACGTACAGGGTGCGGCCGTAAAAACTTTCACATTTGGCACGCCTAGCAAAAATCGAATTTCAAACATACATACCTGAAATTGGGCACACGAACGTCGTTTATTCCAAAGTTTTTTGCCTATTTTTTTCAGACGTCAACTCTGGAGTAGCGAATTATTAGAAAGATAACAAAAATGGCAGACGTGCATTTCCTATGGCCTATACCCGCCCGTTCGCCGTCTGCTATCTGGTTCGCGACGCCGCTCCCAGGTGGCGCACTGAACGCAAAAACGCAGGAAACGCCGCACGAAAGGCTGGTGTCGGGCGAGATAATCGCGATAAAAAGTGATTTTAACGAAATATCTGAACGATTGTTGAAATTACCTGTTTCAATTCAAGTTCTGACAGTTCGTCATGCAAGCAAGAAGACACCATGATGCGACGAAATAATTTAATTTACAACTGCTCGTCTTGTTGACAATTGCGGGTCGCTCTCGAAGACAGCAAACACCGCTTCAATGAGCTCCTCATTTTTCAGCAGGCTCTCACGTTCACTGACTGGATCCTTCTTTTCAAAGTCTTCTCCACTCACAAAACGATCCGCCCAACTCAAAACGGTCGGGCGTGAAGACGGGCGTTTATGAAATGCAGTGCGAAGTTTTCGTGTTGTTGTGGCCCACCGAGTTCCGCTCCACGTACCACTTGACTGCCTGGGCACACTCACTTGCCGAGCATTGCGGCATCGCTGCAGTTATTATCAAAATATTTTGATAATAACTGCAGAAGATAGTGCAACAAAAACAATAAATAGGAACAATCAAGATGCCTCAGCAGCGGCACTCTTGATTCCAAAGCTGAGCTTTCACCGGGAACGAACCCGTCAACAGATAAGCAGACGACAAAGGAAGACACACGTTCGTCTGCTTTAGAACATATTTTTATTAAACGAATGCGTCCGCCAGTTTCTAAATTTGAAGTAAAAAGGCATAATCGTTCAGATATTTCGTTCAAATCACTTTTTATCGCGATTATCTCGCCCGACACCAGCCTTTCGTGCGGCGTTTCCTGCGTTTTTGCGTTCAGTGCGCCACCTGGGATCGGCGTCGCGAACCAGATAGCAGACGGCGAACGGGCGGGTATAGGCCATAGGAAATGCACGTCTGCCATTTTTGTTATCTTTCTAATAATTCGCTACACCAGAGTTGACGTCTGAAAAAAATAGGCAAAAAACTTTGGAATAAACGACGTTCGTGTGCCCAATTTCAGGTATGTACGTTTGAAATTCGTTTTCTGCTAGGCGTGCCAAATGTGAAAGTTTTTACGGCCGCACCCTGCAGATGGCAATCAACAATGCATGTTTCAAAATATTACAAAAATTACACATCATAAGACATCACATAAACAATAGTTCTCAACTTGGCTCAAAAAAAAGTTATAAAATGAAAACAAATCTTTCTTTGATTTTTACATGTACACACTGCATAAAAATAAATGCTCAATCGTTTCTTAAATTATGTCAGATTTGTGTTCGATGCAAATATAGCCTGGTAGGGCAAGGGATTTGATTGTGTAATGCATAATATTGAGGGAAAAAAGAGGAATAAAGTGTTATAAGATAGGATTTGTTCAAGTTTAAGTAAAAGCGACGTTCGAGGGAAAATAAAATGAAAGGTAGGGCGCACCTGGTGACCAATTAGGTAACATTAGTATTTGACGTAAGTGCGATGAAAGTTTCAGGAAATAAATCGTTTATTATAAAATTAGCTGCTTCCCTTTAAACAGATTTTAATTTATAAGTTTAATTATGCAGATGCGGACACCATCCAATATTTGTTTTTTGTTTTGTGGTGTAGGATGACTTGTGCAATTCGTCAACGTGTATATCTCTTTTTCCTAAAAGGCGACGCTTCTAAGGAACTTACTTTGTTTGGGTCGTTCTTATCGCAGGGCATGCCGTCGGGAGCAATACTGGTTAAGTGCCCCTTTTCTGGCACATGGCAAACAACGTGGCACGTGGCCATACCGAGGGCCGGATTTAGTTGAGAATTTGTCTGGAGAAATGTACATAAGTATGAATATCAGAACCCCCGAAATGATGCTCTACAATAGATAATCGGAATATGTATACCTCAACATAGTGTATTACTGGGTGGTTCGGATATTCCAATTTACACAATTTCTGAGGTGAAACAAGCGCTTTCTTCAATCTCTCTAGCGTGACTTTCGCAGCATGTCTATCGGGTACATTTTGTAGGCACGTCCGGGTTGGATCGCTGTAAATTGAAATTAGAAAAAAAAAAAAAAGAGTTTCGCATTTCAGATTAAAATAGACTCGATTATTTTACACGCTTATTTCCTAACGGGGAGACGCAACGAATTTAGTGTAATTATCTTAAGTTGTGGGTCTTTGCATTGTTTATGTGGTCAATTTGAACCATAATACAAATACACGCAAGAAAGGAATGGTGTCTCGCAGAGATAACCAGACGGCAAAAGTATTAAAACAAATTAAATTGCATTAATATTAGCATTTCTGAAATCTGCGAAAATGTAATTAAATGGCATTAGAAATTACCGCAGACTAAAAGTAATTACAATACATTAAAATTATTTTCTAAAAGTAATGAAATTACTTTGACATTACTTTTCAATACCTTCAGGCAGTAATTCGTGCTGATTTTATTTTCAATATATGTACCAGAACTCAGATATTCCTGTTTACACCACAACAATATCAATCGTCACGTGAACCGAACTGAACAGACGTTCCGCTGACGCACAAGACAGAAGTGTTAAACCGAATCAATGGCATCTTCTTCAGATACGGCTCAAAGACAGTCAGCTCACCGGTTTCGTTGTTCATTCAACGGTGACGATACTTAGTTAAAGGTTCATATGATTCCGTCTTAATATATTTTTTAAGAAGTTATAGTCCGTGTCAGTGACATTGGGCCATAGGGGCTCGATCTTACAAGAAGTCGTCACATGCAATGTTTCCCCTTTGACTTGGTCGCAGTCTTTTTTTTTTCTCTAAAGAGTTTGGCGCATTTTCGGTCATTCGTCTCATGAGGTGTTCTTACAAAACACTCGAAGAGACCAAAGTTATTTTGCGTTGTCACATAAGGTATGTTGTGTAGCGGAAGCGTCGCCAGTTAAAGAAAGGGATGGCGCGAACTTCCTAAAACGTCTACGTTTCCAACAAACCTGCTTTTTTGCTTATTCCTGAATAAACTCTCAAAGGAAAGGCAGACAGGCATACCGCGAGTGACGCCTGGTTTGCTCCATTCCCGTATTTTCAGACTGCAAAAAGCGCCTTTACTTATGGCGAATTCGCGTGGTTCTTTCTGCGCGCTCTCGAGCACTCTTTCCAGAGCGCGCGAACTCGGGTGGTTGAAAGAGAGTGCTGTGGCTTGATCGGGTGGTTCATTCCGAGGGTGCCTCTCCCTCTCAGAGCGTTCCCTGGCACTCCGTCTGCAGCCGTCGGAGCGCGGAGCGGCGCAGGCGTCACGTGGCAGTGGCGTACCAACTTGTTTTTGAGTGGGGAGGGGGGGGGGGGGGCAAACCAGGCCCCCCCCCCCCCTACTTGGGTCGCATGGCTTTACTAGTGATGGGCCGAACATGGTGCCGAATCGAAAATTCGGCGCAACTTTTGCCAAACTTTTCTAAAGATTTGGCAATGCGGATCCGGCAAAAATGCAATGTTACCAGACTTAACATTAATATTTAGTTTTTTCCTCACGAAAAAACTTCTGTTTTTTCTTCTTAAAATAAATACAACATGTAGTGCCTATTGAAACAGTTATGACTAAATAAGGTGTTACTCTACAAGATAATTGTATCGATGTCGCTTTTGTGTGTTTACTTTCATTTTTAGCGCTTGCTTGCAGAAAGTGGCGTGACAACGAGGTCAGGTAGCAGCCGGCGCAGTCACGAATCGCGCTACGGGAGTTTTGATTTTGAGACTTCATCACGCACGCCAGCAAGTGTGTTTACATTGGTAAAATAAAGGCAATCACTGGCGTTCTTACTTTCTCTTGGAGTCACCGTTTCATGCGCGAAAACGAATGCAACGGTTACTGAGCCTTCACCAGAAGAGATAACAATAGTGTAAATACGTATACATGTTTTTTTCGATTTGAGTCACTTGACGTCAGCTTTGCATGAAAGTGTACGTTCCATATTCGCAACGTGCAATTTTATCCTTTAAAATACCGGTTTCTGGTGTTAGGACACACACGGATGTTTAGGAAGATGGGGATTCTTAGGACTGTCGGATTTGCAACGTCGAGCATGATAGTTCCGTGTTCAGTTTTATGCAGATACATGACAATCGCGAAATGACGGGAACTAAAAAGCGATAATATTCTGTTTTGCACAAGCTACTTGTGAGCCGAAAACAGGATTGTTATAATAATAATAATTTTATTTTCACATACTGGAAGGGGCCCATGTGGTGGTGCGCGGGGCTAGGCAGATAGGTGAAAACACTGAAAACCTTTACGCAGAGCGCCTGCCAGCCAGACTTGTACGTAGTTCAACTACTTTACTCAAGTTGCTGTAGTTTAACTACTTTTCTGGATAGTTTAGTAACTTTCAATTACATTTCTATTATGGTAATTAGTAGTTTATTTTAACTACTTTTCCGAGTGACTTCCACTCAAATTACAAATTACTTTCGAATTTTAGTGGTTATTTTGCCTATCAACAGAGATAAGATGTTGGAAAATCAGCTGATATTGGCAGAGGGGGAAGCATGTGGCGTAGAAAAGGGGGGAGGAAGAAAGTGATTTGGATAGTCCAAAACCCCCCAAAATTTCAACGAGCGCCCCACAGTAACAACACTGCTATTAGGCGCGGGGAGTGAACAGACACGACGCAAGAGAGGCCGAGTAACTGTGGGGTTAGCGCCGAGGACTGGCGTTCCTTTGTATCTCGAAGCTCAAGGAGAATTGACTCATTTGAAGGGGCTTTTCACCGCTTCTTCCCAATGTAGGCATTCTTGCCCTCTACACACTACATCCTCGCTCAAAAAAGGTAACAAAGTGCAGCAGCCGCTCTGAAGTTCATCTGGTGCTCCTGTTTAGCTTGTGCTGTCTTTTGAGACGTCATCTGGTCATTTCTCTGACTGAAGAAATTGCGGCTATAAGATTGACACAAATAAGTGCCTTATAAGTTGATTGTGTTAAATGGTTCGTCAGCGAGAATAAAGCAATTACTCTATGGCGTATTAGTCGCCGCCACTTTCAAAAAAAAGAAAGACTGATGCACCTCCGATTCTGCCGCCCTTCCCGAACAAAAACTGATGCACCACCGATTTCCCCTAAAGCAACGCGTACCGGCCAGAAAAACAAAACAAAAATAAACGCTGTATAGGGATTGAAAGGGCATTCTGAATATCCGCAGTACATCCTTTACCAAAAAGAAGTTCACAACAATTAGGCATGCAGAAGCAGAACTAGCTATTAAAGGATTTCTGTGAAAACACAAGCCGCTTTATATTCGGCTAACAGAATTTCGCTAACGCATAAATGTAAGTGTGTGTAAGTACTTCCTTGTTAGCATGGAAAAATAAAAGTAACTGCAAAAGTAAATCGCTAATTTTTTATGGTAATTAGTAATTTACTGAATTACTTTCTATTTGAGTAATTCCTACTCTACTCAAATTACTTTTGAGGCTAAAACTCAGTAACTTAACTTCATTACTTTCTTGGGTTGCTTGTACATCTGTGCTGCCAGCCCGCCACCACATATGAAAGAACAAAACAGACAAATAAATGTAAAGAATATACACAGTACAGAAAGTATGTAAAAAGGAAAGAAACGAAAGGAGAAAACATGTATCACAATGTGACGAGGATGCCAGCTGCATCCCATGCATTCTGGCAAGCTCTCGTGACTCTGCCCCGTTTGTCGGAAGTGGGCTGCGCACACTGAGCGTAATTGTCAGTTGTCAGTCAATTTTTCAACTAACTCGTTACATCAATGGAGAGGTCAAATGAAAATTACGTTATCCAGAATGCACCCTATCATTTGTCACTTGCGCAGTGAACTACGTAAATTACTGGTCGATCTTCTATTCTTGAGGCAGAAAATATTGAAGAGAATCACACTCGCAAAAGCTCAGAAAGGCACAGTTACCGTGTAGCCTACTCCAGACCTCGCCGTAACCGCTGGTTGTACTACACTGTGCGATAGTAACCGCGCGACTGCGCGGCGTCCATTTGCGATCCATGGCCCCGTCGCGTTCGTGCGCGTGCGCAGACATTTTCCAAATTTTCGCCGAATCTTTGCCCAACTTTCCTTCAAAACATCGGCATGTGCGGAACTTTGCCGAATCTGAAGTTCGGCAGGTTCGGTCCATCACTAAGTTTTACGGCGTGTGTGTGTGTAGGCGTTGTAGAAGAGTGTGTGTGTGGGGGGGGGGGGGGGGGGGGAAGGGGGGAGGGGCGGGCCAATTGCGTATGCACACCGGGCGCTTTGGTCACTGGCTCCTTTTACGGCGCAGGCGATAGACCCCCTAGCAACGACGCTCACGCCAGATTGGTTGCTCGGCAACGCGCGGCAACTTAAATTTCGGATTCGGACGGCGCGTGTATCCCTCGAAGCGCGTTAACCCACCCCCCCCGCCTGCGTTCACGCCGCTTCGCGGCGACAGTGTGCGGCTGCTAATTAAAAATTTATTAACCCACTTAGCCCCCCCCCCCCCCCCCCCCCCCCCCGGTACACGCCGCTTTTCCTGCGTCCAGTCGGCAACCCAAGCCCCGCTGTTCCCCATGCACTTCCGTAAATAGAATCCCATACGACTTAGTTCAGCGATGTTTCGTTAACAACATTCGTTTCTTTCAGTGCTAATCGTAAAAAAGAAATGTCGTAAATATCGCCAAATGCCTTGACAAAACAAAATGTTCAAGAAAAAAAAATAACACAAGTAAGCCCCACCATAAATAGAACCCGGGTCTGATACGTATAAGGCAGACATCTTACCACTAAGATACGCTACCTCTTCGGAAACTCGCATTGTATCCGCTGCCTATGTTGACGGCGGCACCGCATATCTCCACGAGCCAGGCAATCCGGCGTGAGCGCCGTTGCTAGGGTTTGTATCGCCTGCGCGCTAAAAAAAATACCCCCGCAGGTCGGGGGGCGGTGCCCTCGGTATTCCTTGGGCGCCGCCGGCCAGTATTTGCCCTGCCCAGTGGCGGCCGTTTCAGGGGGGGGGGGGGGGGGGGGAGCAAAACACATGCCTTGCCCCCCCCCCCCCCCCTCTGAGAACTGGGGGGGGGAGGGGCAAGAACCCCCCTTGCCCCCCGGTTGGTACGCCCATGTCACGTGGTTCTTGGACGGTGATCACGTGGTTTTGTTGACGATGGCCGGCAGAGGTCTGTGGTGGTGTGGGGTTCTACAAAGTGCTTGTGCATTCGATGGTGCGAGGATTACAACGGACGGGACGACATTCGTTTGCGATCGCAACAGGAAAAGCCGTTGTGTGAAGTATTTATTCCCAGTGCTTTCACGAGATCGTTCATCTCACGGCGGTGAACCCTCTAAGCCTAACCGACGACGAAACAGCTCGCAGAGCTCGGTGCTGTTTTACCGGGTTTTGTGGTGGATTCAAGAAATTTGTGAGTTTTGGTAAAAGTGCGTTCAAAGGTTTGTGTTGTAAAATAAAGGGAGAGCAGAATATAATGCACTGTGATTTGTGTCACATTGCGATGCTTGCACGATATTTTGCCGTGAGAAAAATGCGGTTTATTAACCATTTTATATTTGCCTGCTCTGTCGTACGCATGACCGCTATCGCAGCGCGTTCACTGTCGAAAACGCGATGAGGTGACAACTGTTTCCAAGCGTTGGCTTTCGTTCCGTTCTGCAAAAATCAATTCGCATACTGCTGTTTTCTTCTTTTTTTACATGCCAATGCGTAAAACAATTTACGTCACAACCGTTATTTCATCACGTTGCGAACGTAAATTTTGCTCAATCGTCCACCGTACGCTGTAAGATCGTGTTGTTCTTAATCCATTACCAATATCAAGAAATTTTACTTCGGTGACTGCATGGTCTGAGAATCTCGGAGCGCTCTGAAGCCGGCAGTCATGATCGGCTGAAAAGGATCCCGAGTAGCCCTGGCGGCGAAGAGGGGGCGCTCTGCTGAATCGGGGTCAGAGGAGAGAGGCGACCACCCGAATTCACCATTAGCAAGGCCAAGGATACACACAAAACGTTCTGTGGCTTGGACAAGGCATTTGGGATGGACTATTTATTCTGGTCGTTTGTTGTTCACGATGGTCGAAGGTCGCTGTTCGACCTTGCTTAACGGAAGAGCAAGAGGGTCATTCTAAGGGTGTTTGTATTCCGGGTCACGTGAACAGTATGGTTTTTCACCTTGTAGAATGTTTTTTTTAAGTACAGTGGTTAGTCGTCGGTGGGCACGACCATTCCTTATATATTCGTCTATTTCTTAAATTGATCATATTGAGAACAAATAGAAAACTTACATAAAACAAATATACTGAACTTTAACGTCATAGCTTTCTAACCTAACAGGAAGGACAACACCTATTTACACCGGCCATGAAGATAATTAGAGAAACGGAACACAATGAGATGTTATATTTACACTCCAGGAACTCACCATATTTACCACGAAGAAGCAAGCACCAGTTCTACCTGCATTTTTTCGAAAAGTGGAAGGCTATGATAAATATAATTACTATGGTGAAGAGTGCTTATTCTGAGAACCATTCAAGGAGTCAAAGATTGGCGCTACTCAATGATTTTTTTAAGTAAGATACAAAAAAGGGCCAAAGCATTTTGAGCGCTATTCGTATCTCACAGTGTAGGTACAGTATCCTATCCTGCTCTATAAAAGAGGTCTGAAAAATGCACGCTCCTGTACAAGTGGGATACACTACAGACCTCTTCCCACTTCGACGACCATTAGAATTAAAATCCCAACCACGGACACAACACAGGCGGACATTTTCATTTGCAGTCTCTTGTTCACCAATTTGTTCCGCTAATAGTCGTCGTGACTCGTGAATTCGCAGGAAGAGAAGTTTGATGCCACCTGCTACGTCGTTGAACCGAGAGTTCCGGTCACTGTTTACGTACTGAACTTTGCACATGTCTGTGAGTTCCCTTCCCCGCCCAACACGAATGCAGTCAATCACTGCCAACAATAGAAGGAACCCTGCAAATGACGAAGCTTAGAGAAACATAATGTCTGAAGAATGACATGTGCGAAGCGACAATGAGTACGTGAAGTATCATGCTCATTGTTTCCGCGCAAGTCACTTTGTTTTTGTATGAAAGAATTCAGCACTTCTTCATTCGCCGGAATCATTCTTTGTTCGCCTTCATTGGCTGTCTCCCTCTCCTGCAAGCAAGTAAACTCACTGACGTTTTGTTTTTTTTTTTTTTTTTTTGAGTGTACGCGTTTCTGAAAATGTTCAATCAGCCTAGGAAAAGGCTTAGAAGATAACGCCGATCAGTGCGGAACCTCCAGTACCAGAAGCATGAAGAAGTCTTTCGTGTGCCTATTACACGGAAAGAACAAACTTAAAACAGCCGTAAAGTCGATTGGGAAAGATGGTGGTGGAGGGGGAGAACGAGATAAAAAAAAAAAGGCCTTGTGAACGGGAAGATTTACTGCACCCCACTGCCTTCCATGAATTAGCTAGAGGACTAAGAGTAGGGGTCTCATACCGATTTGAGTGTGGGGGCCAGAGAGCCCACCCCCCGCAATGTCGAGCGCCAACATAAAGTGGGGAAGGGAGGGGTTAATATATTCTAGGACAAAACAAAACAAAAAGTAATGGTGTTCCACGTTTCAAAGTAGCCGAGCCTTTCAGCGACACCCAAAGCTTTCCTAAAGAATGGATATCGTGCTATTTGCTTTTTGTAAAACGGCCGTTTTGCCAGTGCCGTCTTCAACTTCGATTTCTCCGTGCAATTTCTTTGAGTTCGCCCTAGCGTGATTAAAAGATTGAATTACTATACCCATCCCGACAAAGCGCTGGAATGTTTCGTTAGAACTGGAAACCAAATATAGAATTGCTATTCTGCCGCTAAATTGATTCGGAAAATTTATCCTAGTCGAATATATCTCGAAAGAAAATCTTTTCATAGGGTTCTTTTTGGTATCCTGGTGCTTTGTATAGCAGAATTACAATAAAATAGTTGTGTCTTCATGGTATGTAAGATGAAACAATTTTCGAGCTAAAAGAAAACAGTTTAGTGCTAGCTAGGTAAGTTAAAATGTGTAAGAGCACAGCTACTACAGTGGCTTAAAGGGGGTAGTGTAACGAACGAAACCGGAGAAGCGGCACAGCGTTGGAAGACGGCCGCGGGTGGCGCTGGCGCTTGCAGCACCGTCGTTCCGGCTACGGCTCCGGCTTGGCCGCTTGGTCAGCTTGGCTCCGGCCAGCTCCGGCCGATTCGCAGTTGTCGACTACACTGTCGTCTGCTAGTTTCACATTTTTTATTCACCTTCAGATACAAATCATGTCGTTGGCACTTCACTGGAAACAAATAATTGTTTTTGAGGTATTTATCTTGGTTATGAAGCGTGTTAGGGTGCCTCTATCTGCCGGCCGATTGAGGCACCCAACGGAACTGCGGCTCGAAGCGCCACCTACATCGTCTTCCAAGGAGCGGCTGTTTCCGATGCATGGTGGAGGCTACGCGATAACCGCGCTACCCCACTTAAGTCACTGTACAGCTACGTTTCCAGTGAAAATGAATGGATGACTAGAGGTCATTGGTTACGGCACATGCAGCGCTCGAGGCATAAGAACGGGAGCTCGCAACCACAGGACACTTGCAAGCCCCGTCCCAGAGAGTCCCGGGTCACGTGTTTGAGACTCCTGTGCCAGATGAACGTACCTCACAAATGTGTACAGCTGCACGGCGCTGCAGTAGGAAAACTTGTATTTACTTTTGTAGTCAGCAAAAGGGCTCATGATATATCTTTCTTCGGCGGGGCAGTTAGGGACTCCGGGACCGGGTTTCGGTGGTGGCGACCCATCGTGAGACATTCCCAGTCTGGCCACGTGCCGTGTGACGTTCGACAGGGAAACACGCATATTATGGAGATTAGTGAAATAATTTGCAAGTTAATTTCTGCGCACACGTCAGGATATAACTGAAGAAAAGCATATGAAGCGGAAAACCTAGCACTTCTAAGAATTTGTATATGTTGAAAAAGTGTAAGTGCAAACACATAATTATATTTTTACTACCGTTGCTCTACAGGAGATTACCATATGTAATTTTTAAAACAAATTTACTCAGTGTGAAAGACTGTTATTAAATGTCTCTATCGCTTGTTCAGCAGGCGCAATTTTTTTAATCGGCAAACAAAAATTAATTTCTCGATTAATGATGTGAATTTATCAATGATAGAATTGCATTTATTTCTCGGTAATTTAAGCCTAATAACAAATCACGCAATATCTCATGAATATATCTGGGTTCCGTAAACCCAGCTTATTCCCAGGTGCAGCCGTGTTGCACCAGACAATTTTACAAGTGTTACAAAAAACAAAACAAAAACGCCGTCAAGATTTACTTAAGATTAATTAGCGCGAAAACTGAGAAAACATTCTTAATCTTTCTAAATGTACTTTAGCTTTCGTGTAGCTTAGTCGTTTTAAAGTCACTCACAGGTGTCCGCATTCGTGGGCAAAGGTGGTGACTCCGTCGAACGTCTTTGCCACGTCTTCAACGAGAGCTCCTCTTGTCCACAAACCGCACGCACCTCCAGGATTTGCCAGCCCTGAGCAAAATTCAAGCCCAGCTCATACGGGCATTCATATTATGGAGTGCGACGCACGTGCGGTTTCTTTTTTACGGTTAAATGAAGGCTCAGGCGAAATTTTGTTAAACGGTCATTCAATTGCCCCAGAATTGACTGAATACATCGACAGATGTGGCCGAGCGGGTGGTAATCCAATTAATAAGCTAGAGTATCGGGGACATGTGTTTCGTTTTATGTTAATTTGGCAAAGATAACACACAGACAACCTTTCGTGCCGGAGTCAGGCTGAAAACAGGTATCGTTTGTTAAAGCTAAAACGAAATAAAAGAAGAATTCCTCGGGTGCGGGGAGCTCAGGTTACGCGCGAAGCGAGGAATGGATGTTTATCTCGGGCTTCACGTGAACGGTGGCTCTCGGTCGCTTTGGAATTCGGAGCTCGCGAGCGTCGGCGACTCCATAACATCGCTTTTCCTAAGGGATTTTCGAAGAAGTGCCTAAACGGTATGGTTCTTTTGCACCTCAGCCGTGTCGGGTATGTTTATGGGAGGTGTCGGCACACGTTTCCTTGGGCCTCGTGGTTGCTTCGGGGAACTCTTCGATGCATTGTTTGTCTTTTTGATCGGGGAAAGGAATTAAATGCGTGCGATTTCTTCGGATCGCTTGACCCTAGGACTTCAACCAGTAAGATATCGTGGCGTATGGGCCTTGCTCAGAACAACTCCACTTCGCTTTAGGTCAGTGACCCAAACTCACTCTTACAGAGCCGAGTGTATCTAGTTGACGCACTCCGTATCGCCGGTCGAAGTATTGCTTTTGTCGGTTCCTACTTTCTTGCTCATAATGACGCAGTTCTTTTGTGGTCGAGTAGCTTTGGTTTCAGGAACTGAGTGGCGATCGGTGCGGTTGTACGCATCCTTCTCCCCATGAGAAGTTTTGTCGGAAGTGTTCCGAAGCCGACATGATCCCGAATGGTAGGCGATTAAAACGAAATCATCTAAACGAAGTAATGAATATTGACAGGAGCCGTGACGTCTCTTTTAAAGGAATCTGCCACAACCCGAAGCTCGCGTCCAGCTTTGAGAAGATCTTGGCTCCTGCTAGCCTTCCAAGCGTGTGCTCCGCTGTAGGGATGGGGTGATATTCGCGTTGGATGTGTTTGTTTAGTTGTGTGAAATCAACAGAAACGCGAATTTTTCCAGACGGTTTGTGGACGATCACCGTCGGTGCGCACCATTCAGTAGGTTCTTCTACTGGAGAGATGAGACCCTGTGCTGCATGTTTTTTAGCTCTTTCTGCGTTTCACGATACAGCGAAATCGGTACCCTTCTCGCTAATGGGAGAGCAAACGGCGTCGCGTTAGGTTCCAGCTGGAGAACGTGAGCGCCTTCGAGAGATCCCAGTCCTTGAAACAGATGAAATAATTCTTTCTTTCGTTCGCAAGCTTTTGTTCGCAGTCATGCAAAAGTTTAGGGCAAAGCCGAAACTTTGCGATAGCTGGCTTTCCCAAGAGAGGTTTGGGAATTCCCTTCATAGTGTAAACTTCTTCCAGTGCTTGTTGCCCAAGGCAGTTGAGCTTCTTCCAAGCTGATCCCATGACTTTGAGGGGTCTTCCGTCTGGACCATGAAGTCGGCATTAGGGCTCGGAGAGCTTGTGGCACTTTGCGAAAACATTTTGAAAGATGGCAGCTGGTAATGCCGTTTCATCTGCTCGGGGAACAACACAAGTTTTGTCGACAAATATTTCGATGTCCCATTTTGCTGTTTGAGGAGAAACTGCAGCTTCTACGAATCCTTGTTTGTGTACGAGGGTGTTCACAGTAGTTGAAGATTTCCAGACTGTTCCAAAATATCCTTTTTTTCGGACACCTGTTGCAGCCTGCGTTCTTCGCCGGATACAGGCTCCTCGGGTGAGCTTCTCGACCACACCACCGGCTCGGTTTGCCTTTTGGTTTGGGTGCCGCGGTTTTCTTAGTTGGAGTTCGAACATTTGAACGTTCAGCTCCTCGCTGAGCAGGTTCAACTGCTGTCCCAGTTTTGGCTGCTATACGGTCAACGTTGGCATCCTTTTCTTTTGTCGAACGGAATTCCATATGTTGCTTCTTAATCATTTCCAATTGTCACATAGCAACGATGGCCTTCTGTAGGTCCAGATCAGGATTCAATTGAAGTTATTCCAAAGTCCTGCTGTCCCGAAGACCAACTATCAGCCTGTCGCGGATAAATTCTTCCTTCAGTGGTCCATAGTTGCACGTAGTGGCTAGTCCAAGGAGAGCAGCGACCTACTCCTCGACAGTCCGTCTCCAGTTGCAATCTCATGTTGTACATGGCTCTCTCGTTCACCACATTTCGGCGGAAAATGAAGTAACGTACGAAGTTCTTCATCATCCTGTCGAAGTCTTGAACCTCGGCCTCGGACAGCTTGAAGGTCTGTAAGACGTCTTCAGCTTGTGGTCCCATGATGTAAATGAGAACGTCGACTTAATGGTTAAGATGCCAGTCCTGATGCACTGCGGAAGCGCTTGAATCTCTTCTTCCACGCCGAACATTCGTTCGGTGTTGTAAAACTGAAGGCTTCGGGTGGCGAGACGCGAAAAGTTGCCGTTACCGATTGTTGCGTAGCGCCGTTGCTGGCAGAAGTTGAGGGCTTGTTCATTGTTCCTTCGTTTGAAGTCGATCCTGCGTTTTACTAATTATTAGTAGACTCGGGGAGCGATCCCAATTCTGACACCATGTTTTGTTTTATGTTATTTTGGCGAAGAGAACACACAGACAACCTTTCGTTCCGGAGTCAGGTTGAAGACTGAGGTCTCGTTTATTAAAGAAATAAAAGAAAGACGCTTTGGGTACGGGGCGCTCAGGTTACGGGCGAAGCGGGGAATGGATGTTCATCTCAAGCTCCGCAGGAATGGTGGTTCTTGATCGCTCTGGACTTTGGAATTCGCGAGCGTCGGCGACCCCATAACAACATCTTGTGTTCAAGAGTTTTGGTTTCACTTCTTTTTACTCTTAGTTATAAAGCTATTGTCCTTCATTCAAATATTTTCTACGGTGTTGTGCTCTCAAAACCTGCCCACTCTGTACTCTCCCAGCGGCTGTCCTGGACTACGTTTTCATCTACCGGCGTAGAGCGGAAACAATCACTACGCTACATCCTACTCTTCTGCTCGACAGTCGTAAACCAGGAACATAAAAGCTGCACATTTTGCAGCTTTTTCCCCTGTCTCCGTCACCCAAATGTACAAATGGGAGTAAATAAATGAATTGAATTGAATTGAATATATGTGGGATTGAAATGAACGCGTGTTATGTATGCTTTAAAGTAAGGTTTGGAGTGGAAGAATTTATATGTTTTTTCCTTTGAACTAGTTGTGGTGTTGGGGTTTGTCAGGATTACCTGGATTGAGGATGACTGCAGTGGCCTTCATCGTACATCCTTTATTCCGCCATTATCGACACACCAACGTTTCCAACCATGTATAGTGGTATCGGCTAAATACAGAGTACTACATAATTGAACTTGTTATTGAGAAATGATAATTTTAATGTTTAAATGAGTTGTCCAACTACTGTTTCTATTCTTAATCTTTTATTTTCTTTCACCACATTTTTCTTTCCATAAATTAATGGCTAGAGGGGGGTATTGTTTTCAGCAGTTTCGGTTTCACTTCTTTTGCGTTAAATCTATCATCATTCGTGCTTTCTTTATCGCCTTCATTTACGCCACCTGGTCTATTAAGCTAGTTGACTTTTGAGCTTTGATTTGAATAGTCGTTCTTTAATCACCTCCCCCGAACCGCAGACTCAACAGGACATAATGCCAACGTCGCACGAAGATTGATAATCTTTCTTCTGATGGTTTTAAAATGTAGGGGCGCAATAGACCGATCTCGCCAAACGTTCGGCGCATGCGTGACGCCGCCATAACTTTAGTTCGCAGGAGCCAGGCAGCAGTGCATAAGACGCCTCGTGCTGCCTCATGCTCCACACGCGCAGAGTTCCAGCGAGGTTGTCGCACGTACCCCTAGTGAAAAATACACCAGCTCGAGGGCTGGTGTGACTTGATGTTACACCAGACTTTTTCACAGATGTGATTTGGGACATTTTCTGGTGTGACACCAGAAACCTGGTGTTCTGTTGTGACACCAGAAATCTGATGTGTGGGTATGACACCAAAAATCTGGTGTTCTGATGTTACACCAGAAATCTGGTGTTCTGGCGGGACATCAGGTTTTGTTATAATATGACACCAGACCACCTGTTGACTGGGTGTTGCTTTACTCACAAAAAAAGCGTACAATGATAAGTTTGACAACAACGCTGCCGCCATAATTACTTTATTCAAAAAAGCAAAAAAGCACAACAGTAAAGCTTCTGAAGCTTTACTGTTGTAGGGAGTTGGCCGTGATCAACTGGAGTTTGTCCGGAGTTACTGCCCTGCGTCGAAGAACCGGACGCCCCGTCGTTCCGAAATTCTTGGCCTTTCAGCTTGCGGTTGACTCGTGTCTTAGTTACGCTGATCCGTTCCGCGTACCCCTCCGCACCAGAAATTTCCTCTTCTAGGGCATCATATTCGACAGATAGCTCGATTTCCTTGTCCAGCTCTTTCAGGGAAGCCTCCTTAAGTAGAAGAATATCAAATATTTCTTCCAGCTCACCGATGTCGGTTGGATCCGTGGCCAGCAGACGCCAATCTCGTTGATGATCTTTGTTGTTGCGGCTCGCAGGGTAATCCTCTTTCGCTTCAGGCGGTCGACGCCCTCCTCGCTCGTAGTAGGCATTTCGTCCCCAAAAACTGTAATAATTACTAGCTTCCTTTGTTGCTTTGCTACCAAACCAAGCTCGTCGGAAGTAAGGAAAGCGCACCAACACATCTTTTCGGCTTCGACTGACAAAGAAGACTTCTTTACTTTCTCAAACTTAAACAAGAATACCGGCGGAAAGGGCAAGAGAAACCCTTGAAGAGGCGAGCCGGCGAGCGCCCCAAGCTGCTCAAGGCCGCCCGGGAAAGTGCTCGGGACGAGGGGGACACTTCTTGAGCACAAAGGAGCCCGCCGCGGGGTCTCCGGCGACCACCAAGACGGGAGGAAACAAGGCACCCCGTCGGGGGACGGAGCGGCACACAAACTAATAGAAAACACGCGCGCGGACCGGGGGGAGAAGTCAACAAAAACACAACTCTGGTGTCACATCAAACTGCGTGTTGTGCACACCAGGCTGCCTGGTCGGCGCATGAGTCCTTGTGGTGTGACACCAGACTCTCTTGGTGTACCCATCAGGCTGATGTGCGGGTGCACCAGCATTTCTGGTGGGCACACCAGGCTGGTGTGCTCGATACATCAGCATCGCTGGTGGGCACACCAGATATTCTGGTGTCACATCAGGATTCTCTGATGTCACAACAGGATTGCCTGGTGTATTTTTCATTAGGGGTGCAGAAAGACTAAAGCTCCCTCGATGCATTGCGGCAGCGGTGGCGTAGTCAAACTGGCTGGTGAGATCGGTCTATTTGACACCTAAGGAATATTTCCTGCATCCAGGCAGTTGACCATTCTAGGGGCCCGAAAGCTAGTCAAGCTGCGAGCTGCAGCTTTTCTTCTACCCCCCCCCCCAATCATAATCGATGGATAATAATAATAATAATAATAATAATACATTTATTGTATGGAGCACAGCACTGTTTGCGTGACGGGCGCATCAATGCCAAAACAAGGCTTGTGGGATGCTGCCCTAAAATTAAGACTTTAAACATTGCTACCCGGTATACAAAAAGGAAATAAGACAGATTGACATACACACGTCCTTAGAATGTCCCAAAGTCAAAGTCAGCAGTTGGGTGCATGCAACGCACAGAATCACACCTCCAAATACTGATGCAAGTACATAGATAACATTTAAAAGAACTTGATATAAAAAATAACGATAATCCCGAAGACCACAGTGTCGCGCCTTATGAATAAAAGAAAAAAGAAAAAAAATAGTCGGGCGAAAAACGAAATTGCAGTACAATTTCGAAAAACGAAATATCAGTATAATAGTAATTATAATAATTACTATTATAATAATAATAGTAATTAATATTATTATTATTTTACCTTTTTCATTTGTATATTTATGTGAGAAAAAGTTGAGTTTGTGAGATTAAAAATGACATTCATAGAAAAAAAAACTTAACAAGACTCACCACTGGTGCCTTGGCCGTAAACAGTGCCTGTATGGATATTCACATAGGCTATATCCATTCTATGGAAAAAAAAATAATAAAAGAAGTGTCTACGAGTTGCGATGCAAAATATCCGGAAGACGTTTTACTGTTTTAGGAATAGTAAAGAGAAATACAAAAGCCGGCCTTTGATAGAAAAATTGTAAAGTTTTATATGCGACCTTTAGAAAAAATGGTCGACCAAGTGCCGAGGATGTTTTATTAAGAAAACCGATAAATCGAGTGATTGTTTTTCTTCACTACGTGTCGGTTTGCGTATACCGTGGAAGCGCATAATGTTTAAGATAAATTTGTCGGAAATAAGAGAATGCATAAAGGTGTCTCGAAGGCGATGCCACCTTTAGAGTTGGTCTGGCAAGTAATCAACCGCAATCTTAAAGGCTTCAGGATATTTCCGGCTGGTCTTATTGAAGCTTGAGAAAAGGAAAGGCTCGTCTGTAGGTTTTTTTCATAACATTTCAAGACACTTTCAGTCATACGCTACCTACACCAGAAGTGTGCGATTTATCTTAAGAATCAATAATAAAACTCCCCTATAGCAAATGTTATTTCAATATTCTGCGAATTGAACATGACCCTATTTTAATTTAAGGGCACTTAATTATTTTTGAGGGTTGATTGTGTGCTCAATAATAAGTGCTTTATATACACTTAAAAGAAAAGAGTATGCTGTCTAGTTTGTCCTAGGAAATAGGACAATCCTCGCATGATTTTTATTTTGGACTAAATATGGATTTGCTGTAGTAGACGTTTTATCACATAGTATATAGTACCGGTGATATATTTTTCACAAATCATTATTCACCAAACTTCGCACTGCTTTTTTTTTTCTTTCGTGTTACTGTACATACCCAGTCAACAGTACTGCCATGTCGTCGCTTATAGTTTCATCGATCTCTTTCACGTAATTGCTGAAGTTCCACAGCGTTTCACCCATCATTATAGTTGGATGTGCCTCGGATCTCACAATAAAAGGCTCCATATTATCCTGCAAAAGATATGTACGTATGCTTAGAAAGAAAGTCATAAAATGAAAGTTCTTGCTGATTTTACATCGCTGGAAGCAGCAATGATTGAACGTACAGTCAGTGCGTAGGCGAGCTGGTGGAAGTTTTTCTCTATAAAACGCAACAAATAATGCAGCAGATTCGGAAATAGCAATGGCGCAATGTCGTTGACTAAGACGCTCCTGACTTACAGCGCCCTGAGTCCCTTAAGCTGTCAGTCATTATATACTCAATGAGATAAAAAAAAAAAAAACACACTGGCATCATACTTGCCATGGTCAGTAAAGGTCTCAAAGGAAAAAAAGGAGCATTATTTGCCGCCCAGACTGTATGATCACTAGAACGTGACATCGATTTGCTCTCTCTCTCGTTGGCTCAAGTGAAACATCTACATTCCCACGGCACTTGGCGACCCAACCACTGCGATCTACGCATCGCAACCGGCGAATGGTATGTAATAATATTGCTTATTAGCTTGTTTCCCATCGTATGGTCACTCAGATAGTAAAAGAGGCATGTCGTGGCGAGTCCCGTGAATCTAATTGCCGCTTCGCAACCCATGAAACTCCGGAATTGGCCATAAGAATGCCGAATGACGCCTGACGTTACAAGAAGCTGTCGGCAATGATAATATGATGGTGACGTTCGAGGGAAAATCTTGTGTAGCACAGCTTGACACATTTCCTTGATTGGATATAATGCACAGAAAAAGCGATAGAGCGAGGAAAGAAAACACTCAAGAGAAAGTGGAAATGAGCTATGTATAAGCCGCGTCTGTCACAAAAGTTTGGCAGATGTTCCACACAACAATCATTTTCACCTTTAGTCATGACAGAGAGTAGGGATACATACTGTAAAAACGTTTGTGCGTCTTCTTTCACGCACAACCCTCGGAGAGCCAATCACCGCAACTTACGGCGGCAGCTCAGCGAATGGCAATGCCGAAACATATGTTTTGACTAGAAAACGCAGTTTGAGTTGTGACATTAAGCAATGCAAAGCGTCACGCTTGCATTGCTTAATGTCACAACTCAGAATGCGTTTTTTAGTATAAACATATGTTTCGGCATTGTCATTCGCTGAGCTGCCTCCATAAGTTGCGGTGATTGGCTCGACGAGTGTTGTGCGGGAAAGCAAACGCACAGGCTTTTTTAGAGTGATGCATGCAAAGCTGAAGAAAACTAGCTCTTTCCAGAGTTGCGTCGGCATTGTTATCTTTTTTAAACTTTCTTTGTTGGGTTCGGCGTTTTGGAGGGAGCATTGGCGGGGGCATCGCGGCCGAGGTGGGACAGCTTCCCCGCGCGGTCGTTAAGAAACGTCTCGGGTTTCGGGATGCGGTGCGGGGAGAACCCGCGCTTGGAGCTGCGTGCGGCTTTTAACCGAGTGTGCCTGTATATAAAAGGTTTCGCCGCTTAGTGTAAAATTGTCCCTTTTTGCCCGAGGTAATAATTTAGCTGTTGGCGCCATCCAGACTGGGAAAAATGCAGGGGACGACTCTGAAAGGAATTTGGATTTGGCGGTCGGAGCGCCAGGCTAACAGCTCGGCGACCATTAAACAACAGCGTACCACGTGGGAGTAGTGTAATTTGAAGGGATTGGTCGGCCCTTGAGGGGAAAGGAGGCTCCTACGAGCCTACAAAAAGAGTGCCGAGAGGATGCTCTGGGATTGGCTTCGATTCGATATTGGAAGACTTGGAACAAAGTATGGGATTTAATTTTGGGGCTTTAACTCACTGCTAAGTTGAGTTGTTTTGTTTCATAATAAACGTGGCCACACTGGCCATTGTAAAGTCAACCAACGTCGCAATGTATTCAACGGGATCAAACAACTTTTACTTTTTTTTTTTATTCAACTTCCCGAGGGCTTTCATCGGGCGAGCACTATCATTGGTCGTCACCACCCGGACCAGGACGCCCACCTCCACTCGAGGTCGAAGGGAAGTTGACTACGGTCACAGACTGGTCACATAAAAACAAACACACATACAAAATGCGCACAATTTCGGTGTTTTATTTGGGTAGTCAGAGATGGTATTTACGCAAAGAAATATGACGAACACAATGACATTGTTGTCTTGTCATTGATTTATGAACACCATTAACTCGTAGCGTCGGCCATGCCGTGGTGAAACAAAGCTTAATACTAATGATCATACGTTAAAAAAAGTAATAATTTTGCATCGACTTTCAGATCTTTGCACGTACAACGCGCAAGCAAAAAGGGTTTGCCTATTTTCTCCACCGTATGCTCCGCCCACAATAAAATCTCATGGTCTCATGGAGTGTACGGGAGCAGAACATGCTTAGACATTGCTTATTCAGTTGTACGAGTATGCGCTTGGGGGGATTTCTATCTTAGAAATCGCGGTAGCGGTGCCGCATTCTGCTCCTTAACCTTATATTGGCGACCTAAATTTTACACTGCTGTGTTGAGGTGAGCGTGTTTCTATACGCCTCGCAAGTGGACTCATTTTCGTCTTCTGCGCATGAGAAAGGAAGTAGCGGTGACGTCAGAACGCCGAGCCCTGATTGGCTGATCGCGACCCCCCTATCTGAGCGTCGTCTGCTCCTTTGCAACGTCGTCTGCCCAGGTCTTTACGAGCGAGCTCGACTTCGCCTTTCAGAGAGGGCAGACGAAATAACTCGAGCGGTACGTTGTTTTTGTCTAACAACTAGCAGACGCGCATCAAGGAGAAAAGTGAAAGGACTCACTGGCGAGGTGTCCCGAGGCGCCGAGGTTTGTTTGCTAAAAACCGAGTGTGGAGGGTGGTTAGTGTCCGCAAGTTCCCTCCCAAATACTTTTCCCCTCCTTTCGTGCGCGGCGAGACCCCTCATTCTTTAATGGCGTCGGCGGGTTGGCGCACTTAACGTCGTCTGCTTTACGTCTGCTAGTCAAAGCGGTGGCTGCTTTACCTTTCCTGCGTCTGTCGGAGATTCACCGCTTTTTGACCGGCGAGAGTCACCGTTGCCTCGGGAAACAAGGAGATAACAAGAGGAAGAAATTGACCTCTTAATCTAAAATTGAGGTCAGCGATTAAAATATAATACGGGAAGGGTTCACAAGGGTCGCGCGGGCATATTCCATTCAGCACGCCAGCCGGTCGTGCGCCGAGTCGCGGAGTGCCTGCTAGGCCTAACTGCCCAGCTCGTTTGGTCGCGTTCGGTGGAATCGTGGCCGTTGGAGCTTTTCCCGGGTGTTTGTGGATCCAGATTTCTTGTTCGTCGTGGTCTGTTTCAAGTACTTCTTAATTTTTTCTTGCTGCTTGAAGTCGGGACGCGTGAGAAGCGCACGTAGAAAAATAAACGTCCGTGGGTCGTCGCGACCGCGACGCTGTCGGCCATGCTGATTTGATCGTAAGTGGTAAGACAGCTTCGGAGCTGTCGTAGGATTTCGTCGTAACCTGCGAAAAACTTACGAAAATTTCCTTTCGTGAATACGAATTTGTTCTTAAGTTATGTCTTACGCACATTTTTGGCGTAAGATCGTTTCGTGAATCTGGCCTCTGTACTTTCAAAAGTCGCAGGAAAGGTAAGACAGACGCAGACGACGTTGCGAGCAGACGACGTTGCAAAGGAGCAGACGACGCTCAATAGGGGGTCGCGATCAGCCAATCAGGGCTCGGCGTTTTGACGTCACCGCTACCCCCTGCGCAAGAAGCAGACGAACTTGCCCTCCGCATAGTGTAAAAGCCTATGAAAGAATTACACACAGAAGGACAGAACGATGGCAGCGCATCTTTCGGCTTACAGTACAAGTATTTTAAGTTCTGGAGGAAGCTTCACGGTTTAGGACTGTCTATTCGGTGTTTTAAATCAGAATTAACGCGGTTACTTAAAAGCAATTTAGATTAAGCCGTTTAAAAAAAGAAAAAAATCAACGTATCAGTGCAAGCCGAAGAGCACTGCACGCTGACTTGAGATCGGGAGCTGATCTCCTATTTTTGAAGGAATTTGCCCCAAAGACCTTTAAAATGCCCGTAAAACACGGATTTTGCTCCGTGTCAAATGTGGACTTCGTTTTGGCGGCTTTCGCTTCAGTCAGTGGGAAATGCACCAGTAGAATTAATTTTTTGTCAACCTGGCCTCGAGTTCATATTGCGAGGATGCAGTAGAAGGCATTTATCAAAGGGTTAGTGAAACCCTGTTTCTTGATCCAACAAGCGAACATGAAGTGTTTCGGGTATTTATGGGCCTAAAAAACAGCAAAACGTGTGATATTGACGACCTTCAAATAAAACCAATTAAATTTGTTCTTGATATAATTACACCATGCCTTGTACATATTTTTAATCTGTGTTTATCGTGCGGAAAATTCCCGCAAAAAATGAAGCTTGCAAAAGTGTCCGTGATATATAAGGGTGGAGATAAGAATGTTCTGTCAAATTATAGACCCATATCTGTTCTGCCTGTTTTTTCAAAGGGACTCGAAAAAATCATTTTTTGTCGTCTGAATAGTTTTTTGTGCAAACACTCTGTAATCACAGAATCTCAGTTTGGCTTTAGAAAAGGAAGATCTACCGAATCTGCGCTTCTTTTGCAAAAAGAAATCATATTACAAAATATAGAAAGCAAACTCTTGACACTTGGCATCTTCATTGATTTTAGTAAAGCCTTCGACTGTCTCAATCATGGCATACTCATTGACAAACTAAGTAGGTATGGTATACGCGGTCCATCACTTTCACTTCTGTATTCTTACTTATATGAACGTAGGCAATCTGTAATCATCGATGGTCACTTCTCATCACTGTTGCAGATTAAGTATGGCGTGCCACAAGGTAGCATTTTGGGTCCGTTGCTCTTTAATATTTATATCAATGATCTTGTGAATATTTCCGAAAATGTCAAATTTGTCTTGTATGCCGACGACACCAGTCTGTTCCTCAGTGACGCGGATGCGGATAACCTAATAACCAAAGGAAATTTAATTTTGTCTAGATTTTTTTTGTGGTCGCGAATAAATGGCCTATATATTAATGATACAAAAACAAAGGCAATTTTATTTAAACCGTCCAATAAACAGGTAAATATAAATGAAACTCTCCATTTTCAATCCACGCCGATTGAATTAGTGAAAGAACATAAAACATTAGGTATTATATTTTCAGAAAACTTACAGTGGGATAAACACATAAACCAGGTCGTCAGCAAATTATGCAAAATTGTAGGTGTGCTTGCACGTTGTCGAGCCATTCTCCCCGAAAGAATAAAACTACAAATATATCATGCATTATTTAAATCCCAAATATCCTATTGCCATCTCGTTTGGGGCACGACCACAAGGACAAATCTGAACAGAATATTATTACTACAAAAAAAAGTTTTGCGCTTTGTTGGAAACGTTCATTTCTTAGCCCACACAGAGGCTCTATTTTCACAATACAAAATTATAAATATACATCGTTTTTATGAGTACCTTTTGACTCGATCATTTCTTTTTTCTTCCCCTGAATCTATTAATTTTCTGAAACAGACATCGGGATTAATCAAAAACATACCCACCATTTGCACCCGCTACTCCGAGGAATGGAAAGTGTTTCCGTTTCGCACGAACTACAGTTACCAGTCTTTAAAACATAATCTACCCTCATTGCTAAACAAATATTGCGTAGATGACGTGGACATCTACAATATAAACCCTAAGTCATTGTACTTACTTTTTGTATAGAGCTGTTTTCGTTAACCTGTGAAACCTAGGTCTCTTTTATATATGTATTTTACGTATTGCTGTAATCTCTGCAGTTATTTTTGTATCGCCATAGCTGTCTGCCAAGTGCACGGGGCCCGGACCCCGTCAAGTCAACATTTGTTGACTTTTTGTCCGTGGCTCCGGCGTCTGTAACCCATACGGATGCAAAAATAAAAATTATTATTATTATTATTATTATTAAATATCAGTCTAGGATACAAATGCTTCTAGATAAAAAAAAAGTGCTATAATGTGTGCAATTGTCCAAAGGTGGCACTCTCTAGCATTAGACAGCTGACATTCGAGATCAGCTTAATTGTACTGGATTTCTGGTCGAAAAGACCATCATAATATCCTTGTAATTCATCGGACATTCTACGTGGTCTGTAAGACTTTCTCCATCACTGTCAGACATTCCTAATGGCCCGTCAGACTTCCTAGACTGTCGACTCGAACACCTTGACGGTTCGTCAGGTCTTATTTGCGTGACATTTCGAGATACCAAGACGTCACGTCATGAGACCCTCACGTCGCGTGGCGTCAAAATGCCTAGTCACAACATGGTGTCATGTGGAGTCACGTGGCGCCATGCAGGATGAAACATCGTGATGCCAGGACGCGTGATACCACTACGTCACGTGACGGGTATCATTATTCACGTGACCGGGTCACGTGAGACCATAGCGTCAAGCGACAACCTTACGTCACGGGACATCCCGTACAGTTTGAGTGGGTGTAGTGGGAGTCCAGCAGTACCGTGTAGCAGCGTGCAGCGCATCAACGATCGCGGCAGCTCATTTGCAGGGAACCAAAAGGAACCAGAAATCGTTTTAGCCTGATAAACTCTCCACAACCTTCTGTTATTTCTTCTTTCTCTCGTAGAACCTATAGGCACGCGGCTGCATGATCCACCAAAAGAATGGCGCTACTGCGGAAGCACGCGGTTAACGTAGCTTTGTTTCGTAGAGGTGCACGACGTAATAACCGAAATCTGACTAGACCAAACACAATTGAGCGAGATGACACTGTCTTGCACTCTCCAGGCAAGGTGAACGTCACTATGCTTCGTTTCAGTATAAGCCGAAACGCAGCCGACACTACGAGCTAACGAGACCAATGAAGCAACGTGGAAAGGGCAAATCACTGGGTATTTCCCTTTTATGATTGTTTCAGCGATGATGGAACGCGTATGCAAGAACGCCTCACGAACACCATGATGGGGCACTCTTGACGATGTCTGATTGGTTCCATCAGCTCGTAGCGTCGGCATCGTTTCGATTTAAGGTGAAACCAAGTATAACAGTGCCTCTCGTTTCTCCGTAGCTCGTCTCCCGAGGACGGTTCTCAGTCGCGGACGACGTAGCGTTTTTCTTCGAGAAATTACCGCTGAATTTAAGGACAGAAATACATTTTAAAAAAAAACAACACTGGCAAGGAAATTAGATGAACAAAAGATGTACCAGATTTTTTTTCCCCAATCCAAAAACACCTTTTCAAAGTACGCCCCATTTTGGTCGCGTCATCCTATTCAAAAAGTCCCCTCTCCTCCTCGCTGTCTCCGATTGGAACAGCCTACGCAGCGATGTTGTGTCGATCACCTCAGCCCAGACGTTTACCAACGCCTTAACACATAAATGAATAACAATGTAAGTAGTTTTTGCTTACCTAGTTTTCTGCAAGCATTTTTTTTAATGTTAATATATGTTGCGCCAACGTCATCTTTTTGTCACTAACTGCACTACCTTTGTCTTTAATGCCCCCCCCCCCCCTCATGTAATGCCCGAAAGGGTTCTTAGGGCAAATAAATAAATAAATAAATAAAGGTTTTCTGCGGCTTGAACATAAATCACGTTTATTCACAACGAGCCCACAATCTTAAACTGATGCACGCATTTAATTTGTTCTTTCTAGCGTTTTTCCATGGTCAGTCGCTCTTTCCGCAGTCTGAACGTGCTACCTACGAAAGAAGCCTTGTGAGTCACGGGATATCTTTGGGTTTTCGAATAATTGGGAAATTCGGTGGCCGTTTTTTTTTCCATCCCCGGCGTTCTCCGTAAGAAAGACGCCACAACCGCTCGTAAGTATGCTAAATTTGCTTCCACCGCTCCGGATTTCGTGCTAGCTTGCTTGCGAGAGAGCTAAGGTATGGTCAGGAGCGTGTCCCCTACTGGTGCGTTAAACGTCCTACACATCAAAAATGGTCCCCAAGTGGAAAAAAATGATGTCACACAAGCAGGAGTGTAATGCTGTCGGACGTGGCGATCCTGGCAATCGGTCGTAGAAATGGTGGTGGAAACCAGGAGCGAACGCGAGTATCGCTGTCGTCGCGGCGTCCCAAATTCTGGCAGCCAAAGCTTCCGTGGACTGCCACACTAGAGAGCAACCTGCAGCAGGGCCAGGTGTCTTTCATATTCACCAGCGCTGCTGAAACACCGCCAGGATCGCGACCGGCGGCAGCATGCCACTTGTATGACGTCACAAGGCGGAAATCGAGGGACCACTTTGTTGGACGCGATGTGCACGCAAGTCGGAGACGCATACTCCAAGCACCAGAGTTAAGAACTACGGAAACGAGCAACGAAAACTTCCCAACTTAGCGTCTACGGACACAGATTTCGAGGCTGTTATACTCACGTGGAAAGTTGTGATCTTGGTCACGACGATTTGCACGTCCACGTATAATAGTGTCCGAAATTTTAAATTTACCTATAAAATAGAACATCCGATATTAGAGAGGATGAAACCGATTTACTTGGAGCATAAAGCAATTTTTCACTCTCTTTTAGGTGCATCTCCTCCAGAAAGTGATGCTAGCGGGGTCCAGAAAATGGGTAGACTTCTTTAATGCTGCATAAGTCAAGGAATAGAACTGGGGGGAAAAAAAAGGGGGGGGGGGGCGGTTCTATGGGTCGCAGTTTTGAAGAAAAAAAGCGCAGAGAGTAAAACGGGCTTCCGAGGGTGCTTGTGTGAGTGTTTTTTCGTAGATTTTTATCTACGTGTTTTTTCTCATGCCATATCATAGGTTGTTTTGTCCGCCTCCAATGACTTTCCTTTTCTTAGCAGATCTTTATCGCAAAGCGTCTTTTCTTTCTAAGTGAAGTGAAAATTTGGACCCTTTAGCCTTCTTATCTATAGCCGCTGTGAGCTTAAGGAACGCTGGACGTGGCAAGACCCGAGCGGCTTATTTATCGCTCCGCAACCATTAAGATTTTGGCATCAGCTGATAAGTGCGCGGAAGAACGAATCATAGACAGGAACCGTGATCAGAATAAGCCCCGCCCTGCGTTTGATTAGTTACAGATGACTATGGGAGGTGTTGTCACTGCATGCGCGGGCAAAGGAGAGCAAAATCGGAGGATAAAAATCGAACATCAAACCGTTTCATGCTAAAAGTAATAATTTTCCAAGAAGAGGGCGGGGGATGGGGCGGGGGGAGGACGGGGCGATAGGGGGGGGGGGGGGGGGGGGCAGAAGAAGGTCTGCCAAGACGAATGCTATAACTTTTAAAATGTTTTTCGGAGTTCATTGTTTTTTGAAACCTACCCAGTTCCGCTTAGGGTTGTATAGATAGACCTATACTACTAGCTGTCATACAATGGGTCCTAGACTCGTCAAACACGAAGTCCGGGCCCAATTTACGGAGGAAAGCAATCGGGCTGTCGCGATGATGATGCTGCACTTTCGCTGCTAAAGTTCAATCGGCGAGATCCGCGAACTTTTGTCGCGTCGGACGAGTCTAAAACTATAGTCCTACAGCCTGTGCTTTAGGGAAACATGCTGTGCCGCTGGGAAACGAGATGCAGTCGCGCACGGCTGGCAAACGTCCGAGACAGAACAGTGGTGCTGCAAAAGCGCGCTTTAGGAAGGTTTTTTGTCTACCGGCACCCCACCTCCTGGTAATCATACGTGCTGTCGGCGTGTGTTCATGCGCCACGTGATTACTTTTTTGCCGGCCCGGAGATCGCTGAGGTCTGCTGTAAAGCGTGAAACACATGTGAGCAGGAATCGCGTCGCGTTGCGTCGCCAAACGGCGTAACCATAGGAACGCTATGACGCGTGGCCCCAACGCCGTGCCGACCCGTCACAGCGTCAGTGACGGTTGCTATGGTTACGTTGCCTGGTGCCTCGATGCGGCGTACGTTTTGCTCGCATGTCTTTCAGCCTTCATATCAGACGGTTAGTGCCCATTATACGCACGCAAGTACATTTTGGTAATGAACTTTTTAATTACTACATTCTAAGGTGTCACGTCAATTATATATGTTCTAGCGTCATCCCAAACCGCTAGATCTACACTCTAAGAAAAAATGGAGGAAAAAAGTAGCAACGGCGCGCCTTCCTCCCTTCTACCGACGCGCCCCCAAGCGGACACGAGAAAAGGGGAGGAACAAAACGTTTTTCTCCTTCTCCAGGCAGACGGGTGAAAGCTTTCGCCCTCCCGACTCATCGTCTTTCGGTTTCGTTTTTCGAGCAGGTAGCGCACGTTGTTTAATTAATAGCTGTTGAGTTGATTGAGCTTCAGCAGCAGCGAAGGCCGCCTGTAATTCCGTCTTCTAGTCTAAACCTGCAGAACATTTCGGTTGCATTGACGTTTTTATCACTAATTTTATCAAACGAGCAAACGAAGCCGCTAGAAACAGCGAAGTTCCGGAGCAGTGCCAGCAGCGCCACGTACACTGGGGGATGGCCGTCTCCGGATTGCGTGACTCGCGCGGCACGGAACTACAGCTACTGCAGCACTACAGACTACACTAGCGAAAGCACGCGGAACTGTGTCGACGTTTTCGACGTTATGGAAACCGCAGGAACTGCGTCCAAGACAGGCAGGTTTTGTTGCCGGCTGCCTGGGTGCCTTCCCCCCTGAGTTCGGTTCTGTTTTCCGATGCCGAGTGCAACCGGCGTTCAACGTGGTTCTGTGTTTGTGCGTGTCAGCAACATAGCTGCAACATCGTGATGGCAGTGTTGGGTTGTGAACAGAAGACTGGAATTATCGCCGATGTGACCGTTTGTTCGAGTATCTGTGGTGTAACAAGAAGATGAGATCGTAAACTATTGGGCATTGATGCCGCTGGTCGGGTTGTGATCGGAGGGGGTGGGGTGTCGCAGGTTGACATTCCGCTTTACATTAAAAAGTTCAGTACCACTTGAGGGATTACGTGCAATCGATCAACGTGCGGATAGTCATGTTGGAACGCTGGTCTGAACAGTAGAAGCTCCTATCGTACAGTGGCCAATGTGACTGTCGGAATTGTCTCGTCCCCGAGAGCGATCGCGCTCAGGGGCAAGGACTGAACAGTACGAAATCGTGACGTAAAGTACGTATATTTACAGTGGGTCCATATCACAAGAGCGAATGACATTTTAGCGAACGGCGACATTTGAGCGAATGGTCATTTTAGCGAATAACGGGGGCGCGCGTTAACCCATCCGTCGCGCTGCGCTTTACGCCGCTTCACGGCGACAGTTTGCGGCAACTCATTACAAAAATATGAACTCACTTGGCCCACCCGAAAACGCCGCTTCGCGGCGTCCGACTATTCGCTAAAGTGTCATTCGATGAAACGTGGGCGTTCGCTAAAAGGTCATTCGATCAAGTGAGTGCCTCCCTTAATTATACTACGGTTGCTGGAGAAACTGCCCTCCGTGGCGCGCTGCGATGAGCGCTAGAAGTTTTCGGGCTCGCCACGGCGTAGCTCCGTACACTTAACACCTGCCGCAAGTCGCGGCTTTGACTGCATTTAAGTTGATGGAAAAGCAATTTCTGAGTCCGTGAAGCATCACTTCCAGCTGACTGAATATCCGCTCTACAGAGATTAATTCAAACGGCAATTGCAGCTTTGCGCAAACAGCAGAAATAGAGAAACAAATAGAAATACAGGCTACGACGTGCCGTGTGGGGAAACAAACTCATGGCTTTGAACCGCATTGGAGCGGCTTGATTTTTTGGCTTTCAAATAATTACGGCATGATTGAGCGTTTACTTTTTAATAAGAGATTCAATCCCTGAGCCATTCAAAATACTCTCAAAGGTATGACATTGCTGGGAAAAAATCAACATGCTGGGAATATTTTTTATTGCTTAGGGAGTCACCGGAAAGTTCCGCACGTTCAAAACGACCAGTATAAAAGACGGAAACGCAGAGCACCGGTGTAGTGTTCGGGTTAGTGTGGTGTTCCGTTGTATTGACATTTGTGTGTGCAGTGCGTGTGCTTAATGTATGTTCACCTGATGCTTGTAATAAGTGTAACGGGTGTCATGTGTGTATAGTAGAGGACCCTGAAGGCGCAGTAGTGGCCTGAGAGAAGAAAATTATTTTTTCTAGAACATGAATTGGGCGGTACCTAGCGCCACCTAGCCTAGCTACTTGCAATTACTCTGCTTGACCCCTCCATCTGGTGGCTAGCGATTTAACCTTATTTCACGCTACGCAATAAACAGCGGCTTCGAGTTGGTTCTTTCGAGAGCGGCTTTTGGTTCCGCGGAGTGAGTTTGCCCTTCTCCGTGATGTGCGGTTGACGAAGGAATTGTGACTCGAGGAACACCAAAGGTAAGACGCAAAGTGCGCGAAGTAAGTGGGTATCGGTTGTCTCCGTTTAACATCGCAGTGCTGTCGACGAGAAGACTGAGTAACTGCCTTCGAAACGCAGGTTTCTGAACCCGTGGGGGGAATCTGGCTTCGGAAATAAACACAGTTTGCGGAAAGCTCGTGTTACGCTTTCATTTGCTGCTGCTCTCGTCCCGTACAAGAGACGTGGCGTCCTCGTTAAGCCTTATTGGGCTCGATTTGCTCGATTCGGGGCCGCCATATTGAGATGCAAGCGACGGAGGAACTTTGCTCCCCTGCTTCAGGGACGAAGGTTTCTCCCTTTCTAAAGGAACATAGGTTACAAGACTGTTCCTCCCGTAAGGGAGGACTATCTGTACCCTTTTTTCTAAGAGTGTACTCACTTTACAGAAATATAAGACACACGCAGCATGTTACGGTGATTCGAAAAAATGTGTTTGTGCAAAAAGGTTAAAAATAGGACAAAATGCTGTTGCAGCTTTATGAGGTCCTGGCACTTTGACACGCATTGGCGGGACATTATTTCACCTGAATTTATCTGTATAGGCTCTCTCAAATTTACCGGAATCGAACCTTTCTTAGTGGCTACTACAGCACCAACCAATCTTTTTTTTTCTCTCTCTCTCTTTATTTTCTTTTCTTTTTTTTTTGTCCGGGGGGGGGGGGGGGGAGGCATTTACGTTTTGCGGGAACGATTAAGCGTGCGTTCCGTGCAACTCCCTGCATATCACCAAGGTTCTATCATTTGTGATCGCTGTTTTCTTTTTAGTGTATCGGTCGTGCATGCGGAACGAATAGGAATGACATAGACGGCGCTCTACGTTGCGTTCAGCCTGAGGGTCCTTCGAATTCCTTTGGTCGCGTGCACACGTGCGGCCGTTGGTCGGCGGCCGCTGGTGTGTGCGGCCGTTGGTCGGCGGCCGCTGGTGTGTGCAGCCGCTTGTCAATACATTTAGTTTCAGAAACCGCTAATATCTGAACTGGAGCTAGTAAATAATCAACTGCTGAAGAAGCTACCGCATTCCGGTACCCGATTATGCTGTGGGCACTGCCATTTTGAAGGTGCCCAGAGTATATTCAGGATGTCGCCCACAAGGTGACATCCCGAGCTTTCCATACGATAGGAGAAAGCTCAGGCGACATTGTTTTGTTCTGCGTTTGCTGAGTGAATGAAAATCGTTTCCTGAAATTTCATGTAAAACTTCAAATATCTGACAACCATTGAATCACCATGATGGCTGAGGTGTTGTTCATCTGTAGCGTAGTTTAATTAATATGCGAGTGCCACGCGCTAATCATAATTAGAAAAATCGCGTGGACCACAGTTGATGAACAACCTAGAAAAAGGTAAACAATGCAACCAATGTGAAAAAAAAAAAACATATGAATTGCTGTGCACGAGTGTTTTCAGAGGTAGTAGCACGGCAGGATTTAAGTTTTAGGTGGTTCAAGTTCGCTGATAAGGCCTCTCTAGACGCTTACAAGATTCAAATGTTCAGTGTCGTGCTTCATTCTGACAAACAACAATAGGTATAAAAATCTTGATGGCCTTGGCTAAAGTTGCAATGATCAGTTTTATGAAAACAAATGAAGGTGATCGTTTTTATATAACGGAACTTTAATTCGGTGTAGGACATACTCACACAGGCAATGAAGATGGCTATGTACTCCATTATTTTGGTCGGGGTTTTAAAGTTTTTGGTGTGAGCGCTATCGATCAAAACATGGACTTCTGGAGAAACTGTGGCGTAGATACCTTATTCAGGGAGGAGGGGAAAAATAGAAACAGGATACGAATTGTGAATTTAGTTCGCCTGGTAGTTAGTATTCCCGAAGTTGCCTGTTAAGAGTGAGCTACCTAGGCGACTAGCTCACTGTCATAAAAATTATCATTAGGGAGTTTTAGAATAGCGCACGCTAAAGCTTTGCGCACGCAAAGAATAGCGTCGTCGCCACTGCGCATGCTCCGAACGCAAACCAGGTTTCGCGCTTTGCGTGCGCAATTTTAGCGCGCGCTATTTCTCGGAAATAGCGTGCGTACGCAAAGATTCTTTGCGCTTCTCCAAGGAGGATTCGTGATGAGAAGTTGGCTAAAGCCAAGACGAGCACAGTTAAAAAAAATGGCGGCTTCCAGGATTATCTCGGCGGCTGTTTTGGCGGCGTCGTGAGTTCGACGTCGGCGGCATCCTCGCGACTGCAATTTTCAATACGGGACGACATTGTACTCGGTTTGGCAGCGATCACCGGCAACTTGATGCTTGCGACGCGCGAACATTTCACGGCGAACGAACGATGTGCGAAGGTCAGTACACGAGACCTCTCTTGCCGAGGCGACGCAAGCGGACACGACCGGTCAACCGCTCGCTTCGCGTTCTCATGTTTAAACAAATTAAAATGCTACTCTGGACCAAAAAACTCGTTGTTTTTCTAAAGTTACACCATTTCGTGTGTGAAATAAAAAATTTTACTGTATCTTGGTGGCGTCGCAAGCGCGAGATGCTTGGGCTTTTGCGTCGCGGCGGAGAAACGCTATTCTAAAACTCTCCTGCGTCGCGTGCGCTAATACAAGCGCTAAATTTAGCGCTAGCGTGCGCTAAAATTGCGTACGTTATTCTAAAACTCCCTATTGTAATCAGCTCCTTCAAAATTGTGTACACGCAACCCGTATGGTGAAACAAAGCGATAGCTGAGGTGTTACGTTGGAGTCGCTATAAGGTGTCCTTTCGGAGCAGATGGACCGAATGAACTGTAAAGGTGTGAGCGCGTATTATATGGAGTCCGCGTAGGCGTTTCGTATTAAACCGAGTAACACACCGGACGGAACTTCCATAGCGTTTTGGAACCAATGATGGTGTTTTAAGCACCGAAAATTTCAGCTGTCTGCTTAAGAGGCGAGCCTTTTTTTGTACATCACTTCGGTACAAAAATAGCCACACGTGGTAAACGAAAAGCGCCGAATAAACAGGGACGACGAAGTAGACGAGACGAAGTGCACCCTCAAATGACGGCTTATTGAAACACACACTATTAATACCATATTTCTGGCTGTTCGTTTGAAAATCGAACTTAATCTGTCAGGTGCATTGACGGGGCACTATAGCGCTTGCTTTCTTCTTGCTTCCTGATGCAGAATGTATCGTAAAATGCTAAGGAAGTTTTAACCGCGTATCTCCGGAGAATTGTTGTTTTTCCTAATTCTGGGTGACATGGGCACCTATCCCAGCGCACTGCCAGATTTTCTGGTGGGCACTGTTCGACTGCCCATCCATGTTATCTCTCTACCATGCATACCCATATATGTTATCTCGCTGGCTCGTTAACCTTGTTATCAGTTGCTCGTGGAATGTTATGACCGAAGGCCGAAAATGGCCTGCTCGATATAAAGCGCGGTCGACGGTTCGAAACCGCGAAGTGTTCCACTAATAGCTAGGGCTGTAAAAGTGGGCTCGTTTTGGAGCCGTTACAGCCTACTATCAGAACGTATAGTCGCTGACTTCTGGGCTAGGTGGTGCAATCTACCGCCTTTTATAAAGGGTAGAGCCATTAGCATCCATCCATCCAGCTTTAGAAGTGCAGTGCGTGGGTAATCCTAAGCATCGCATCACTCCGTATCTAATGAGAATAAGCTGTTAGCCGAAAAGAATGCCGAAGAACGAATCACAAAGCAAGAAGCAGCAACCTCATAAACCAAAAAATAGTGTATGTGTAGGCGAGCTGGTGATAGTTAATTATAACTTACACCTGTAACGCCCCAATGTAACCTTTTCAATTCCTGCAAGCGTGTGATTCCTAGTTCCTTAAGCTGGCAGTGGCTTATAGGTGTACACTCTAAAAAAAAGTCTGTGCGTCTGCTTCCCCCCCCCCCCCCCCCAACACTCGGAGAGCCAATCACCGTATCTTACTGAGAGCAGCTCAGCGAATGGCGAAGCCGAAACATATGTTTAGATCAAGAAACGCAGTCTGAGTTGTGACATTAAGCAATGCTAAACGTCGCGCTTGCATTGCTTAATATCACACCTCAGACTGCGTTTTTTTGGTCTAAACATATGTTTCGGCATTGTCATTCGCTGGGCTGCCTCCGTAAGTTGTGATGATCGGCTCTCCAAGTGTTTTGAGGGAAAGTAGACGCACGGGCGTTTTTTAGAGTGTGGGTTCATTCTTGTAACTACAAACAGCGCGTACAAGACTACTGCCGTAGAAACCGCAGAAGAGTAGTAAGCTGGGTGAGTTGGTAAACGTTGAACATGGGTAAAAATCGCGCACGAAGAGACGGGGACAAACGAGGAAGTCGGATGACAAAACGGGGTATTTTTACAAAAATCGGGGGTGTGTATTTGGTTTTGTGTTGCGCCAGTCTTAATTGTGAGAATCGACCGTGCTATTGCTTTAGCTATTAAGTCCACGCCAGTTACCAACGTGTTCAAATATGTAGATGATTTTGTTTTACTGTACAAAAATACTGCGGATCAAGATTTAGTTACTACGATTATGGACATTTCTCATACGTTCGGTTTTTGGGTTCACTTTTACTTTTGAGAAGCCTAAGGAAGGGGCGTTGCAATCCTTAGACCTTTTCCTCTCATTGCACGCCGATCACTTGTGCTGGTATTCTCACCACATTCCAAAAAAGGTAGTCTTCACTACATGCACATCCTCGCACTCGAAGGTAGTGCGGAGAGGCATTGCTATATCTCGCCTCACATCATCCGTAAAAAAGTCATGTTTCCGTGCCATTCGTTCAGAGTTCCCGAATCAGGTATTAATTGAAGTGATACGAACACTGGTAAAAAATGTAAAAGGGTGTCTAAAAACTAGGCGTCCCGTTGACAAAAACCGGGTGGTGGTTATGCCATACCTACACAAAATATCACATAATCTAAAACAAGTGGCAAGTAGGTATGGTGCGCCCGTAGTACTATCAGCCCCTAAAAATGTGACAAATTTTTTCTATTGTTTGTGAAAAAGGGGAAAAATTATCAAAAAAACACGTGCGCAAAAAACATGTGCGGCCTTCTGCTCCCTCTTCATCGGGCGTTGTATAGAGCATTCCTCTTTCATGTGGAAATTGGAAGATGCTGTGTTGGACAGACGGGACGGTGTCTGAATGACCGGCTACGAAAGCACAAACGTTCTTTAACATCCACTGTAGGGGTCACCTTTCGGTGCACTGTAAAATCTGTATGTGCACACCATCTTTACAAGAAACATCAATTATTGGACGCTTTAAAGAAAAACAAACGCGCGAGGTGCTCGAGACGTTCACCATCTCGAGTCTGGCCAATCGCTGTGTTAGTCAGCCATCGATAGCTTTGAGCGAAAAAGAAGTTGCCTTCTTGCAATTATTTGACTGCGACTTATCTGTTTACCCCCTGGTGCCGTTGTCCCCTGTAAAAAATTGTGCTGGATCTTTTTTTTCTCCACTTAATATACCAGAGTTGCGAGTACGCGCCCGTCTGTGTTCTGTGCATCTTCCTCCTTTGTCGTCGTCTATTTGTGCGCAATTTTTAACCATGTTCAATAGAAACTCGCATTTGTAGTTGCTGTTGTTTTAGTGGTTTCAGTTGATTTTTACCACATACTTGTTTTATCGCGGAATTCCAAGTGAAAACCATCATGAGCAACCGTCACAAAACACAGCCATGAAGAACCGTCACCCAAAAAAGAGTTACGAAGAACCATCAAGAAGAACCGTCATGAGGAATCGCGAAGTCACGTGAGCCTGTGGAGTCACGATGTCACGTCGCTCTAACACCAAGAATCATGTGACATCACGTGAATGTCACATGACACCAAGATGTCATGTGACATCACGTGGAGTTTTTAAGTCAGTCTCAGACGTCAAGGGGCATAGTGACGCCAAGGTGTCATGTGATGCCCTAAAATCGCTTGACGTCACGTGACGTCAGGATCTCACGTGGCTTCCCGCGACACCAAGACATGAAGTGACACCGTGATGCTACGTGACGCCATGACTTCGTGGGATCTCAACATTTGATGTCACATAGACGCCTTGCACGGGCCCAGCTCAATCACAAACATCCTCCGCTCCCCGACCTTCGTCAGCGTGATTAAGCTACTGTAATTTTTTCGCAAAGTTCCCGTATCCTGCGTTGGTAATTTCCCACTCACTTCTTTATCGTACTCTGGGCCTGTATGAGACACGCTAGACATAACAAAAAAGAAACCGTTGGCAGCGACGTTTGTGATGGAACGCTTCATCGTTTGTGTTTGGCCATACTGTTCTTACCGGAGCGAGATTTTGACTGAGTTGTGATGGACCTACTCCAGGAAGTGCTGGCGTCTTGGGATTTAACTGCGTCGTCTTCTAAACATGAAAACACAGGAAGAAAATAGTCACTAAAAATGTTTCGTTTGTGAAAGTGAGGTAAACAAATACAACCTTATCTTTTAAAAGGCATCTTGTTTTGTACGACGTAATCCGACTCGTTAATACCTGTTAAGTGTTGGTACACAGCGCGACGCTTTAAGCTCGAACAAGCAATCGCCGGTTTTCGCTGTCCCAGAAGCGAAGGGCAGTTACTAAATCTCCTAGAGTTGCATAAAGTGCTGATTTTCAGCATTAATCAAATCAGTAAAATTTTATACCCACCAATATCCCCTGAAGGTACATCGATATCCTTTTCGTGCTAACAGTGTCGGAGAACGTTCGTAAAGTCGAATACATGAAAGCCTTGAAAAAACTGTAGTATAACATAAATTCAGGATGCACTCACTGAAAAATGAGGGGCGTAGGTTTAAGGGCGCTGGAACTCGTATTTCAAAAACGTACAACTGGCAAGAAGATCCAAACTTCTCAACATTTAACCGCCATATATATCTGTCACCTGCCGTATAAATAGCTTCGTTTCTCAAATATAACGCGGAACAATTTTCACATTTACAATTTCTTTTTAATTTAATGTGTGTTTAATATTTTTAGATATAAAACATATAAAGTATGGTCATAACTTTTTAAGCATGCTTTCTTGGTCGGCACCCTGATGCGCCATTATGATCACGTGGAGAATCCTAGATTCTTCGAGGCTTATTAGAACAATTGTTCAACCTCAAAAAATAGAACTGTCTAGGCTTGTTCACAGTGGCTTCAATGTCAATCAGTATATCACGAACTTTCAAAACGTTCGCCAAAATAATCTCTCTTCGTCATTTCCATGACAAGATACCATTTCGGTCTGTACTTCTTTGTGAGGGCTTGATATATTTTAGTTTCTTTTTTATGAGGAGTGCTCAGAAAATTCAGAAATTTAGAAATATATTTAAAAAGAAATTGCAAACAAAAATATAGAAAATAAAATAAAAAGAAATGAGAACGACTGCCGATGCAGATGGTAGAATCTACACTGCGCCACTTTCTCGAAATTCATTTATTCAGTCTTGTGGTGACTAGCAAAGTTTTATACCCCTGTCGGGGCTTCACACCGGCAATGGGCTGGTATTTTCTGTGGCAGCTTACCAGATACGGAATGAACAACGTAAAAATCGGACGTTTGGGCTAACTCTGACCACACCTGTTCATTACAGTAAGACACAGCTTAAAAATGTCAGAACTCGGACAGCCCAGATAATCCTAATATCACTGAAACCTCTATGACATGGTAACATCATCTTTCGGAGGAAAACTAGGAACTAAGCAACATAATTTATCACCGACATGTTGTCAATGTCAAATACTCAATCGTGCACCAGAAGCATATTATATACGTAAAATACCATATAGTTTGAGGAAAGCAACTGGTATTGGCGTTCCTTGTATTTGCTTGATTCCTTTAAAACAGAACAAGAATAGACAACTCGTTCAGTGTACAAAAATAAAAAGCAATGTTGCACTAAAGAGAACAAAAGGGCTATGTACATGGTGTTTTATTTTTAGGCTTTACGGGTTTTTGGTAAAAAGAAGAACCTGAAACCTACGCTAACGCGGTGTGAACAGATGAGTTACACTGCCTAAGGACATAACTTAGTGTACGCTAAGTCAGTTAATAAACTAAAAGTTGTTCATTACCTTTTTATTTATTCAAGATGAAGGTGTGGTTCCAGTCAGACACTTGCCGAGGTTCATTGAAAACCAGTGAGTAGATTTTAGAAATATTTGGAGCGCGTGGGAAGCGCCAAAACGGAAGAAGTGGTGCGCCGAAGTTACCACTCGTGCCAATAGTTTGCGGTATATGCAGCCGGTACAAAAACGCGAACGATAACAGACCGAAAAACTCTGCGGGAGTTTTTTCGCCCCACTAGCCGTGGACTTGTTGCACGACTTCTAATCTTAGCGCACCGCAATGTGTCCCACGCACCACACACTTTTCGAATATTTACTTATTTAGTGGTTTTCGTTGACGCTCGGCAAGTCTCTAATTGGAAGCATACTTTATCTTCAATAATTAAACATATACTTAACAAAATTTTAGTTCATAAACCAACTAATCTTGACTGTTATCCACCTATATTATGTCCCCCTTGTCATGTAACTCCCCTGCACAGACCGCGTTAGTGAAGCTTTCGCTGTTTTTTTTAATAAATCTGCAAAGCCTAAAAAAAAAACAAAAAAAAAACACCACGTATAAAAATGTCCTTGCCCATTTCTTCCAACGAATTCATTCAGGTAATATTCGGCGTAAATTTATTTCGAATTTTCTTCCAATAAAAAATATTTTCAAATGAATGTATGTTTAAAAAATATAAAACTGCCGAAAACAACAAGGACCAAGAAGAAGTAAGACAACACAAGGCAAAAAAGACAGCACAAGCTGCATGTTTTCTGTAACAGGGCGAGGGAAGGTGCTGGAAATGTTTACCTCCTGAATGTCGCAGTGAAACATAGAATATTTCCTGGGCTATGTGTCCATCTGCATTCCGCCCGGACACATATGATGGCCTTATCCGCAAGGTGTCACTTAAGATCCCTTCCTATGAAATTAACATACGTCATCCACTTAAAACCAAACGTTCGAATCAGAATGAATTATGCACGTCTGAAGACCCTAGCGATGAAAGTGTAGTAAGAAAAAGACCCTTACATAAAAGAAAAAACAGTATAAGAAAACGATTCGCCTCACATGCGTGAGGCGAAACGCTTACTTATATGGTTTTCTTGTTATGTAAGGCAGTTTTTTTGTTATTATTATTATCGTTATTGCTTTCACATGCGAGAGACATTGACAGCCAAAAAGCAAAGAACAAAGAGCCAAGCTCTTTGCTTTACTGGCGATCCCTCGCACATGGGATTTCGAAACGATTAATCAAACAAAATGGCGAGTTAGGCCAGTTGGCTCATTATGGAAAAAGGCAAATGCCGAAAGACTAGGACAAAGTACGGACTAGAAAAGTAAGGAAACAAAGCAAAGACTTGCGCCTTGTGTCGTCGTTTCCTTACTTTGTCCTAGTCTTTCGGCGCTTGTCTTTTCCCATCATTAATCAAACTTCCTTTCGTTATGTCAACATGTTTTTTTTTTGGTACTTCTATTATGTATTCAGCCGGATCTTGGAGTATTTTTGATGATTGTACTTGACACCAATTTGCGCTCCCATGAAGTGATTGTCTAACTGAAAGCAAACATCCCCCAAAAGCGTGTCCGTGATCTACTTCACAAGGACCATGCTTCTTGTTTTAACCTCTTTTTCAGCTGCAGCATTGTAGCAGTGTTTGAACAACTGTACTCGTTTTCTGTCGGTATACACAACCCGAATACGTTCTTACGAAATTTCTTTCACTTTGCATCTACAGGAGCAGTATAGTTATTTACACTCAGTTATATTAGCATCTTGTTAACAGAATTCACAAAATGTTAATTCAATGCCTTGTCAATATAATTTAAAGATAATAATTAACATTAATATTATTTTGATGGCAAATACTAGGAATACAACTCCCGTGCACAATCACTGTATTCTCAAATAATAATACGCAAGGATATTACTATGAGCATCCTTTTGAATGTGAATTCTAGGAATACGTATATCGATCCTAGCAGTGCGAATATGAGAATCGTATTTTTTGTTTTGCCTAGCAAATTTTCAAAACAAGATAGCAGGTCTAAGTGTTAGAAATATACTTATAAAATGGTTTTCTTGTGTAACCGACTCATCAAGGAGATAAAGATATTTGAGACCAACTTACAACACGAAGTCCATCATCATCATGAGTTATCATGATAGCAGCGTCTTTCTCGGTGTCATGATACAGTTTTCCCTCTATATCTGACGCATTTATCTGAATAACGTGAATTAAAAAAAGTGTTCAGGTAAAACTCAAATATTTCAAGAACAAAAAATTGCAATCACATTACCATCTAATCCCATTAACATCATTTAGTACTACTATATAAGGGATTGCTACAATAAATACTTAGTAGCCATAATTACAGGGAAAACTGTTTCTTACACTGTGCAAAAGCATTCTCTTTTTTTGTAACGCTTACTTTGAGTGATTCGTTTCACAAAAAATGTAACACCAAAAGCGAAACCTCTGAAGTGCCTACTACCCCGTCATACTCGGAAACTTACTAAGATCGCAGCAAATTAAGCAAATCATAAGACAAAAAATGGAACCACAGTCACCGCAGGTAAAAAGATTTACTAAAGGCTATGTTCATGTACCATGCGTAGATCGGGGTCTGCCAGTCAAATTGCATTACTTTCAATGTCATTTGCTAGACTCACACCGCCTTTTGCACGTGGAAATAGGGACAGAGACATGTTTTATTGTGTGACGTGTGATACGTGGTGATACTTGATGTTTAATGAGCGTCTTGATTAGTGAGGCGTTCAAGAAAACAAATAATGAGATAAAATCAGGATCCAAAACCTAAACTAGACTTTTGTGTTTGGACAGCGCAGGGTTGAACTGCCCCGCGGTATGGCGATGCTGGTTTATGTTGTAGATATATAGAAGCAATTTAGCTAGCGCAGTACGACCGCTAACCTGTGGGTCTTTAACCTGCATCGAGAAGTAGAAATACACGACCGTACGCCGATACTATACTTATCTAGATAAAAACAGGCAGGAATGGTGATTGCACCCAGGATACCTTGGTTCTACACACACCCCTGCCCAGACATCAGTATGTGTTTGAAAGAACTTCGCACTAAAGACCGTGTGATCATTGTACCATATATGCTACTCGTCTCACTGATTGGCGTTGTATTTTGATGGTAGATTCTCGATTGATTGCTTCAAACAGAGAAGTTTCTTACGCAGGATGCAGGTATTGTGGGAAGCGTGTGCCGGCGAACAGAGCTCGGAATCCTTTCGTCCCCTAAACATTTCCGTGTAGAGCGTGAAACCTATATGATCATAACCACAGTACGCGTCAATCTGCCCTTACCTGAGCACCAAAGGAAATTTACTCACGTGGTGGGTGATTTTAGACTCCCCAGTATGTGTTATGAACTGGAAAGTGTTAGAAAAAACAGAACTCCTCTCGAGGTTTAGAACAAGGTCCTCCCGAATCTTCAATAATACTTTCTTTGTGGAACTTCGCTCACCGAGAATCGCTGGATATACTTTCATGTTTTCAACGGGTACTGCCAGTGAAAGTAAAGTGAAACATGTCACACAGAGCAGACAACAATGGGCTTAGATCAAGCGCTGGGAAGAGATGGAAGCCTAACGCTGCCAGGAGGAAAAAACGTTAAGTTTTCGCATTAAAGTCGAACTTTATTTCAACAGCAAACGTGTATTGACAGCACCGGACAAAGGCCTTCCTGTGGAAAGCTTGACTGGATCCGGTGCCCTTGCACCTACAGGGGCACCGGACCTAGTACGACAATATAAATGCAACAGCACTTTTTACCTAAACAATATAAGCGCAAATTAATATGGTTAAACAACGAATATTAATGCGCTTGGTAATGAAGTCGTTAAGCAGTGTAGGTAGTTCTGAATGAGGAATTGAAGTGCATAATGGCTGCGGAAAAATAGGAATGCAGCAGCATTTTTTTAGTCGGATACTGTATTCATGGCAGGTTTGCATTTGGTGCCGTATGAAAGATCCGATAAAAAAATAACACACTCCGCACTTAAAAGTAAAAAAAAAAAAAAAAAAATCCCTAAACATTTTGATGACATTGTGGCCATAAAATGTTGGTTCGGTATGAATATTGTTAGAAACATTTGCAGTGAAATGCAGCAGTCTGTTTTGAAGAATCATTAATGTCATTTCATTACTTTTAGACGTGGCCTCCAATATCAAACGGCAATAGCGGATTTGAGAGAAATACAGCACTCTAAAAAATGCCGGTGCGTCTACTTACCCGCTAACCCCTCGAAGAGCCAATCTCTGCGATCTACGACTACAGCTCAGCGAATGATGAGGCGGAGCATCTGTTTAGACATCAAAATTTAGTCTGGGCTGTGGCATTACGCAATGCAAGCATGGCGTTTTGAATTGCGTAATGCTACAGCGCAGACTTCATTTGGAGGTCTAAATATATGTTCCGCATCATTATTGGCAGTGCTGATTTCCTAGATCACAGAGATTGGCTCTTTGAGTGTTTTGCGGGTAAGTAGACACGCTGACATTTTTTTATAATGAAAGCGCGATAAACTTGAACCTTAATATTTGTCAGCAAGAGAGGGGCCAATAATAGCAAGTCAGTGATGCACCCTGTGAATTAAGTTTTTTAATAAAAAGGACACTCGTCTGGATGAACAATCTGATTGTCGATTTTTCTACATCCCGATAACTTCACGTCAAATGTGACAACTAAATCAAATTTCAGTGTCTATAGCGTCAAGTTTTATGTTGACTGATTTGTTTTGTAAATTCCGCGGGAATCGCGCCCACAAGGGGGCCGGACATGGGCCCGCGGGGGTTAAGGGAAAGGAAGGTGACGACGGCACGGGGCAAAGATCGGGCGTCGAGCTCGAGGATGGTGTGGCATGGAACTGACGGAACGGCGAATGGTCAAGGCGCTACCTCCAGCTTGTCCGTCTGCGAGACAGTAAAGGACACTAAAGCCCTTCGTACCTTGCGTTGTGTTACATCGCCTTCGGGGCGGTCGGAGCGGGGTCCTGATTGTGCGTTGGCTAATGGTGACGCCCGCAATGCTCCAACGCGGAGCCCAATCAGCGGGCCATCGCTTTCGGTCGTTTCTTGAAGTTTACACTCGACGGGTTCTTCGACCATTTGACACGCCTAAAGCCCGAACCATATAGGGCGTATTTTCGACGTATTTGAGGGCGTTCTGGCGGGCGTAATCCCGACGTACAGCGGGCGTCGAAACGAGCGCTTCCTCGGTCGGCGTAAATACGCGCGTATTCGGCGATCCAACCGAGACAGATCTCGGCGCATAGGCGTATTTCGGCGCGGCGTATCCGGAAGCGTACGGCGCGGTGCCGGCCAATCAGCTCCCGAGTAGAAAGCCGGAAGTTGCTAAAAAATCGGCTTGCCTAGCTATGCGGCCGGCTGGCTGGCTTGACTCGGCCGCCGAAATGGCCGAAATGGGAGCTCGCTTGTCGCTTTCGCCGGTTTATCGGCGAGCTGTACGAAATCGCTATATCTCTTGGGAACGAGCATTGAACGACTGAGACAGAAGGAAATACCATCGATGTTGCGGGCGATGTGAAAAAAATTACAAAAGGAAGAGTTTTGAGCAGAGGTAGCGGTCGTCCTCCTGCCGGGAGTTTTTGGCAACTTGAGGGTTGCAACGAACATTTTTGAAACAGGTGTTAGCAAATTAGGCTATGGTTGCTTATTAACATTCAGTTATTTCTGTCCCCTTGCGGAGCGTAATAATATAGCCGCCGATCTGCATTTTGCCTCCTTTCATCAAAGGCGCGAGTCGGGCTACACTGAACCGAACGCCGAGGAGACGTTGACGAAAAGCGCCGTGTGTGGTTTAGCGACCTTCCCCTCTTCCTTTCTGTGAGAAAAGCGCCCGCCCAATCCCGTGATTACGCCCGCTGATACGAGCGTGATTTCGTCGAGAATACGCCCTATGGAGGTCGGCCTTAACTCGTGGAAGCGCGTTATCGGGTTAGGATTTGCTGCCAGTCAACACGAGATCGAACGTGGCCAGGAAAAGGGACGCTTTGTCCAAGAGCGAGGCTCAGCGAGTGTTGGACACCGCCGGAGCGTGTTCCGGTGATCGGAGGCACGGATTCCCAAGCGCTGTTGGAGTCTGGAGATCCAGCTCCGGCGCGGACGTGAGAGACGTCGGTGAGCTCATGTGCGCCATAACGGCGATGTTCGAGAGTTTTTGCGGGCGTTTGGAGTGCCGGGCCCACATATATTTGACAACCGCGGTTGAAAAAACCGAAGCGGATCTTCTACCGGGATGCTCCGGTGGAAAATCTGTCAACGATTTCCTGTAGGACTTCGGTGCGTACAATATAACAACATTGTCCTATATTTTTTTTTAAAGAAAAAGTTGATTTTGTAAATACGGGGTGTGGTACATGTACACTTGTTTCGATATTGGTCTCCTATGTTTCATAAATTTTTAACTTTATTTCATGCTTTTAAAAGATGAAGCCTGTAGTTGATATCTGAACAACAGCTGTTGGAGTACCTGAGTTTTAACATTCTCTGGCTCAGGTTAGAGAAGATTACTCTGAGGCTGGTTTTTGAAGACAGACTCATTCTAAAATCGGTGTAATGATTAACGAATCTAACGTTGGTTTGACGCTCCAATTTTCTTTTAACAGTTTCGCTCGATATAATAGGCACATGTATAGTTTACTAATTAAGTTTATTTCGTGAAAATAAACGTATGGTTCTTCGGAGAAACTAGCTAAGCATCATCGAAAACCACAAAAGCAACTCTTTTTAGAAAGATATAAGGCAGAGCAAGTATTTTTTTCCGCGTTCCGTAGAAATGCTGAATTTGGGCGCGTTTCTGGGTTTTAGTGTCTCCTCATAGCGCATCTCTACACATGCGGTCCTGGTCTCCAATGACCGAGCCGCGCAACACACGTGCGCTGTACTTGCCTCCATCCTACCAGAGAGCCGAGGCGGTTGGTTCGGGCAGCGGCCACCAGGGGGCAGGACCACAGGCGCAAAGATGCGCTCCAAGAAGAAATCGAAACATAAATACGCGTCCAAACTCGGCGTTTTTTTTTTTTTTTGACGTTGAAAAATGCTGCCCATGCCTTATACCTTTCTAAAAGGAGTTAGTTAGTGGTTTTCGATGATGCTTAGCATGTTTCTTCGTGCAACCATGTTTATTTTCACCAATTAAAAACTAATTAGTACAGCTTAGTTAATTATATTACGAATTAGTATGCTCTTGCAATCCTTGAGTTCCACCAAGGCTGCAATTTCGTTCCCGCAGAGAGTCTCGTTTTATCTCTAACAACATTTTTTTAATTATTTTTAAAAACTTTCGCAGTAACACCATATGTTATATATGTACAGGTGTTTCCGAAAACGCCGGAAAAACCGCTCATGCAAGAACCCCTCACACGGAAAATCGTTGATTCCTTAGTGGTCTGTGTCAAAGGGTTGACCGAGGAAAATAACTATGTTTCGATATATTTGGGTAATCAATTAATTTTGAGTAATTAAATTTTTATTATTGATCTTAAAGGGATGTTTTCAATTAGAATCTTGAGGGGAATCATCGAAAAGTACTAAACGCGCCCACATTACAATGATATAAGACACGCGCAGCATTCTACGGCTTTCCGGAAAAAAAAAATCCTTAATTTGGATACGTTTCTGGGTTTCGGTTTCTTATCGCAGCGCATCTCTGCGCAGGCACTCCCCCCCCCCCCCCCCCCCCCCCCCTGCCCCTTGTCTAAAACGTCCAAAAGGACGTTTTAGACAAGAGGCTTGTCTAGCCTCTTGGAGAATTGGCCGGTTTCAGGCGCGCTTACCCTCCTTTGCATCGTCAAGTAGCGCTCCGACTGCGTGTACCAAATGCAGTCAAAGTCGTGGGTCCACTAATACACACGGTCAATAATTAAAAAATAGAAAAAATATGAACCTTATATCTGGGGCCTCCAAAAAGCTGAAAATACGTTGATCGAAAAAAAAACAACAAAATGTTGCGCAGGTCACAGGAAGTACATGTACACGTCATTCTCAAAATGGCGGCGTGCCGCGGGCTCGACGACGCGATGGCGGCGGCGAAAGACGACCAACGTTGCGACGGACGTGGGACCGCTACTTTGAAACTGTCGTTTGTGGTACCGCGGCCACTCGATCTTCAAGCGCAGAACATCGAGGGAAAGGGATTTAAGTGCGAAACAATCGCACGACAAACGGTGCATGAAAATTCGTCATCTGCTTCACACGCCGGAGAAGCAGAGAAAAAAAAAACGCGGTAGGGTGTTGCCACGTGGCTTCCGGCCATGAGCTTCCGTGCTCGCGTTTCGGTTTCGAGCAGTTGAGTATTTTCGCGTGATTAAACATCTACGCGACTCTGCAGCAAAATTATGATTAGGTAGTCTCCTAATACCATCGTGAATTACCTGGCAAAAAAGAAAACCATTTTTGGGGTGTTTTGTTTCTTTAAGACAGACCTAGATAAAATAATAACAAGGAGCAAACACAATTTTTTTGCGGTGTGTTTACGGCAGGGCTGGGCAGTATCGTGATACAAATTATGGCAATAGTATCTTATAGAAGCTG